TTCTATTGGATTAGGACGAGGTTCTTCAGTTGTAAAATATTCTTCTATAGATAATGTTTGACGCACAAACTAATCCCTCGAGGAATGTGGATTAAACTGGTTGATTGACTTATGACACAACATGTTCATTTTTTAATTTATACTTTATTTATGATTTTGATCGCGTAGAAAATTATTTTATTACAATTCAACATTAATTATTTCAACATTTGGCAATACAAAATATATTATTCTAGATGGATCTAGTAGTTAAAAATCAGAGATTTGGCCGTTCCTTTGCGAAAAAACAATTGCGTAGAACACAGATGAAAACAACATAATCAATATGAATGAAATTGAGTATATGTATATGTACATTGCTTGGATCAACGTAATGTTTGTTTTTTCTCCTTTTACATAGGATATATTTTCGATTTCTCTATGTTTGTCCGTCTTTCGGTCTCGGTAACATACAAGTATACTTATGTTCGCGTTTCACAAGGAAACTGGAACGAATACCGGACAATTGCGGACACGTCTTAAAAGCGGACAATTGCGGGCACTAGGGATTAATGCTACCTGACAAGGGTTTGACAGGTCTCTACAGACAGGTCTTTAAGACTGATTTCCATCACACTTTACACACTAACCTAACCTTTTCTTAAAATCATATATCATGTATGTATCTGTTCTGAAGGTGGAAATCAGACTCTTTCCAGAACATGTGTCCGCAGTTGCCCGGCAGTGAAATATTTGTAGAGACCTGTCAAACCCTTGTCAGGTAGCATTAATCCCTAGTGTCCGCAATTGTCCGCTTTTAAGACGTGTCCCAATTGTCCGTGTCCGCAACTGTCCGGACACCACTGGAACATCATTGGAGAAAATCTTTTCGTCGTTCTCTAAATCTTTGAACAGGGTTGAGGCTTCAGAGCTTGTAACTGGTTTTAGTTTCTGGGATTAACATGAAACGTGTTTACAAACCTCCTTTGAGATTTTGAACAGCATTTGTTCATATTCGTGGAAGAAGGCTTTACTGATAATGCCACAAACACATTTGCCGAGGTGTATACATGCATAGGTAGGTCAACATTTACCCTAGGGCTCCTTCAACTGTTCGAATCTGAGAAGGGTTCATTTTATCCCACACACGCTGGATAGAATAAAGTTATAGTTTAGTCTTCGGGTTTACCAACGGACCAGTAAATAATCTATACTATGATAAGAGTAAGGTTTGCGCACAATGATCTCAAAAAATGGCTCCTACGATTCCCTACAAATAGCTAGAAATATCTTAGTTTTAGGATAAAAACAATATCCATGCTAGGCTCTGTTCTGGGAAAAATTGTTTTTCGTCTTAAAATGAAATGTCAATATTTTTAACATTAGTCTTATGGACTTTCAAGTAGCTATGACAGTTTTACGAAAATGTAAACAAATGAATTGTAACATATGCTTTAACAAATAATCTACTGTACAGTAGCAAATTACCGGTACAAAAGAAAAGGACATTATCATTATGAATCCTATTGAGCATTGATTATACAGTGTGTTAATTAAGTTTTAAAACAAATCTGTATTTTTTAAACCGAAATAGATAAAAATATTCCGTTTGTGGCATTGATTGTTAACAAAGGTTTCATAATTTTTCACATCAAAGATATTTTTAACCCCCTTGACAGGGTAGGAAGTATGGGGTGACGTTTTTTTTTTAAATAGCAACTCCTATTGAGTGACAGCAATCAGAAGTGTTCGAAATTTGTTTGCATTTCTTATTTCTCTTTTGTTTGAATTTACAATATTTTTATTATTTTTACAACTTTTAAACACTACTAATTCTTACTGCATCGATCTGATTTAATCAAATTAAATTTGGTATTTTTTCATATAAGTGATTTATTTAATTATTCTTTAATACTTGTCTTAATATTCTTAATATCTTTAATACTAATAATGTCTTTAATTGGTTATCGAAATCGAATATATTTATATTTGTGTAGTTATTGATAGAAATAGCTGTTTTTGTAGCATCTGAAGAGAAGTAACTTTTACAATTTTTCTCACGCCCCCTTGCAAAGGATGATTATTTTTATTTTTTGTTTGTATTCTCATTGTATCAATTTACACTTACACAACTTATACAATAATGTTTAAATTTTCTAATACGCACTGCAATAAAACTACATCTTCAATACGTATTTATAAGTCTGAATTTTGTAGAAAATTTAAAACCTACCGTTTATATTCAACAAAAACATATCTCCAACTAATAGCTCTTAATAAATGTGATTAAAACAGTTTACAGAAAACGTGCACTTCTTGAACTGTAATAGATGGTCAATTTATTATTTAAACGGTTGCAATATTTGAATAAAACTACGAATTTTATTTATCAGATCTTTGTTTACTTGTGGTCATATCTTTCAAAACAATATAGTTTATCATAACGTCACGAACATTCTTATATTTACAAAAGATCAGTCGAATCTCATTGATTTCAGAAATCTATGATCTTAAGTATCTCATGTTACAACGAAAGGAAGAACTGCGATTGAAATACAGAATAGGGAAAGGTAACGGACGAATTTCTAAATATCAGGATAATTTTTAAGTGTGGAACATCAATGACTATCAACACGAAGAGATCATTTTACCTGTCTTTTTCCAGAGAATTTGTTTCATTGAAATGTTTAGAAAGGTAGGGTTTAACTTTTACTGGCCATCACAAATAATGTCCTGCGTAAAGAGTTAGCAGTAAATTGGTCAACTATGTTAAATCACTAATTTGAAAAATCAAATCCTTACTATACAAAATTGCACAAAAACATAATTTGTTTACTTTCACTCTTATTTTCATGTTAACAAATTATGATATTGAAAGTGTATGTTGACAAATTAAATTTACTTCTGAATAATACTGTTTTGAAATATTTCTGTTTTTCTACCTCCCTCTGAATGTTAGATGCGATGCGTTGCTTCCATTCAAGATATTCTGACAGTCTTCTTTACAAAACTTTGATACTGTTAGAGTCTTTCTTTGACTGAAGTTTTGACACAATGACAGCTGATGAATTTCATATTTGTCTGCACAGCCCACCCCTTAAATCTTCCTTTGTAGTTTCATGCTTTTTAAACAGCAGGATTGTTTTTTTGAATTATTTCAATGTCATCGATGAGTAAACTATCTTTTTTTCTATTACAAAGATTTTAGAGTCAGTATTTAAAGAATCTTGCCTACTGATTGGCTGGTATATAATAAGTCCACTCTTTAAATCATGTATGGTGTTAACATCGATTCAAATGCAAATTATATCAAATTATAAAAGTCATGTCATTTTCTTTCACTAATACAAAATTTTGTTATAAAAATATTACAAAAGATGTGGTGCAAGTAAAGAATATCAATTGGTTCAATTAATATGAGTGATTTTTAAATATGAATAAAAAAATGTGAAATAGTGAAATATCTAGAGAATAACTCCATCAATTAATATTTAATAAACACACATTTCACAAACTAATTTTTCGTCACAGTTTATAAAAATTATGTCCATTAAAAGTTTGCATATTTTATGTAAAGAGAAAGATATTTAATGAATGAAGAACACCGCGCTGCTATGATTCACCACAAAATAAAGAATTTTATAAAATATGAAATTAAATATGGCCTACTCTTATTCAAAGTCAATGCATTCCATTATTAAATACCCCATTGGTACCTCTTCGGATAACTTAAATAAAAAATTGAATCGAACACAATTTGTGGTATGTCTAGCATTCAAACTTATGCACATTTGCCTTCAATCGCGCATTATTTACATTCTCGTCATCAATCCAATAATCAAGTGTCAATAACCCAGTATTTTTTTTTAATTTTTACTAGACATGTCAAATGGTCTTCGTTTGTTTATGTTGTATGAAGTGTGCAGATATGTTGGTGGAACTGACATATCTCAATTCTTGGTAGTTTTGGTTGAATCAATAGTATCGTCCAGAATTTGTTATACTCTGATTATTAAATACTACTGTAGTATACTAACTTATTATACTAAATAAACTCTTTAGCACCTAGTGCATACTATTAGGTATACTACCATTTTCTTATTTACTGGCATCTCTTTTAACTTTTCAAACAAAATACGTAACTCATTATTATGGAAAAAAATAAGAAAAAAATACAAAAGATATCAAACTGTTCTGTATATACAAAATATGATGAAGTTATAGGTTTTAACTGTATGGAAATACAGAAAAAACATGGTAAACATGACCCTAGCTATCTGTGTAATAAGAGCGCAAAGTATGTAATTACTGCTCGCAAAATCAGCTGATTTCACTGTTGGCGTTTCTATAAAACACTAGCATCTGGTAAGCAAATAACATAACCTAAAAAGTAAACATTAACCTAAATGACATTTTATATGCAACTAAAACTGTAATCCGTGTTATGATAAGTTAAATATGGTTGTAGGAAAATCTTGTGTGTATTAAAAGCACAAACAGTCATTGCTGCTCTCGAAATATATGGCCACACTAGCTAAAGCTTCGTGCGGCCTTTACAGTTCTTGAGCGGTTATGACGTACTTTGTGTTCTTAATACACAAATAACTATCTCAGTGTTCATAATATGATCTAATGTTGCTATCCACCAAGGATTTTATACCAAGATGAAAAAATAATAAATATGTAATTACATTTTCTGCGGTGTCGACGCGACTGAGGAACTCCGAATACTTGCAGGAATGGAAGTTCTCGACCTGAATCCTTATTTTATCAATGTTCTTCTTGTACCGGCTCACCCCTTGCTCAATACTCTTGCATAGCAAGAGCAGTGGCCTAATTCGAGGTAGAGTGGTAGAGTCCACCATTTTATATTTTTATAGCAATAGCTTTATTAGAACTTTGGCAAAGCTGGTCATGCATGAATGCCGTTTGGCACCGACTGTACATCGCTGGTTGTGGATGTGGTTGTTGGTTGTGGTTGAGCTGAAGTGATGTTTGATCAAGTTGTTGATTGTTGCTAGGTTCAGTGGTTCTGTGAGACAGTCGGGACCTCCCGGTTGTGGTGACCAGGGAATGATTGGAGAACCGATGAGGTGAGTCTATAGGCAGTGGCTCTGCTCAAGCTTGCTATGGGAATAACCACATCACTGGTATATGGCTGAAACTACCCTTAGTTAGTATTAAAATTGAAATAATCTACTAAAATTTTAACTAAAACTTTAGTGTAACTAAATGCTAAAACTTCTAACCAATACTTGTAAATGTTTAACTTTAGTTGTTGAATAAAACATTAACGTATTTTAAGGTTAGGGGTTTTTAATTTGTTTGGTTTTTTTAACCCTAAGATAAAAGTATTTCCTTGACTCTTGATTTAACTAATACCTAATTTAAATATTTAAAACTATGTAAAAAAAGATTTTACAATATAATTACTATGATTTAAAATTAACGTGTAACACACCCTCCTAAACAATTTCCTTATACATCAAATAAAACCTAAAATAATAGAAAAGTAAAAAAATATATTTTACAATTTTGATCCATCACAGTACAATTTTTGTCAACTCGACTATAATTCACTCAAATGTTTAGTAGTTGTAAACTTACTTATATTTCGTAAAGAAGTAATTAATTACTAAAATAAAAGATTTTTAAGCTAGATAAAGTTTAAAGAATATACTTAATAAATGTTTTAAATAGCTTTTATAAATTTAATTTGATTTAAAATGTAATAGCATACTTTTTTATAGTTAACAATTAAAAATACTAACCTTTTTAGTCCTTTTCATTTACTTTCTAGCAACAATGTATTATGTGGGGGGAAAGATTTTATTAGTAAAAAGCAAATGCCATTTGTCTATGGACTTTACTCTGCTATAATTGGTTATTTCTACTCGCTCGATCTTTTAATTATTTTTATATTCAGTAATTAGTTTTTCAGATTTTAGTTGTCTTCTGACTTTAGAACAGGTATGCTGTATTTTAACATACTATAACTTAACAAATTTAAAAATCATATTTCCTTTTTACAACCTTCATATTTCTCAAAGTCGATCGTTATTTATTTGATCACTTAAATATCATATCCTTTTGTTTCAGAAATTTGTTACAGAGATTTTTAAAGTATGCATATACACACATACTTCTATCAGTATTTCGTCACAATTTATCTCCTTACAAGTATACATCAAAACTGTGTGCCTACATTATTAAAATTTTATTGAAATGCTATAAATATCATAAAACTATTTTATCTCCAAATATATAAATTTTTATATTCCTCCTTTCTCATCAATCCACATATTTTTATTTCTTCCTCCTCTTTGTTAGTCCTTCTTTTAAATCATCTAATTAGTTTTTAATCATCATTTTGAATTTTGATATATTTAGCTTTTTGTTATTTACATACAGCATCCTCTGATTGAGATTTAAATTAGGGGGAAGTTTACCAATTATAGTGCTTTCAACCAAAATGCAATATTCAAAATCAACGTAATTTTGGAGAAGGGTTATTCAGTAGGTGTTCAGAGTTCAGAATCTTTAAGCCTCTTCAGATTTTAAAGGGATTTTCGGATGTTGGATGGCCAATTGTGTTGTGGGTTAGAATGGTGTAGGCATGGAGTATGAAAGGTAGATGCATGTTTAGCTGCTCGATTTTCCTTTGCATCAAAACAGGTTGCATCAAAATATTTGTCTCCAGAGATCTGTAAGTCTACATTAGTGAGATGGATGTCTCAGTCCTAGATATTATTGTATCTCCTGAAATGGAAGTGTACCCTACTGTAGTACTTCCTATTGTTGTCTTAGACAAAAAGGTCTCTGTCTGAAATGGATACCTTACGGACAAGGATAACTCAAAATACAAGATTGCTTTTGTATGAGTAGTACAGAAGGAAATACTTTAAATAGAAGACTATGTTGAGCAAGTGAATGGAGTGATTTTATGTCGGAAGAGACATGATTGCTTATGTTATGTAAAACAAATTTTAAACAAAACAATGAAAATTTAATGATATTTATCACATTTTTTCCTGGTGTTGGTCTGTGGCTCAGTTCATCACTTGCAAAACTAAGGGTGTAAGTAAATATCATATATTTACACCTCTTCGTCTTGCAAGCATCAAGTTGTTAGGGCATCAGACTGTGAAACCAATACAGCGATGTCATGGATTCGCATCTCGATGCGGCCACTTAAACTTGATCAATACACTGTAGTTCATTCATGTATGAACCGGCTCACAAATTGCTTTGCTTTATACATTCTATGAGGCCCATGTGGACCGGCAAATTCAAGGTTAAAATAGGCTGCAAACCTTTGTTTACAAAGAAAAAAGGTTAGAAAACGAACGTATATTTTAGGTAAAATTCTTATTTGGGAAGAGGGGAATGTAATTTCAAAAGAAAGGGAGGGTAGATAACTATCTCAATTGGAAGTTTTATTATGAAGGGATACAGTTAATGCCTTTTTAAATCAAGACCAAAATCCTACCTTGATAAGATGTGCTTACTGCATAACGTGCCAGAGGAAACGTGGAACGTGTGTGCTATAGGAGGAATCCAATATTTAAATTAATGTTAAACAAATCTATTTTCTCTATTACATCTAAAATATCAACTTTCAAAAAGTTTTCTTCATACCTAATTGTTATATAATCCAAAACAACCAACCGTTATGCTCTTTTCATTTCCAATCATATGAAGCAAGGGCATTGCATATATCTGCACACATCAGGGGCAAAATAATTTAACTGTACTTTACAAAATAAGCAAAGATTGACAAAAATCTGAATTGTGTCATTATTAATATCTTTTGTTCAACTGTAGTAATATTTTCAAAACTAAATTTAATTATCTTCAATATCCCAATCAAAAGAATCAGCCGTGGGTGACCAATGGGGATGGAGCCTCTTTTGAGTCCTCTAGAATCATCAGGCGAGTGACCAATTGCAGTGATTGTTTACAAGTGCTAACTGTTTCAGAAAGCTTGAATTTTAAATGAAAAAGTGACTGATGATGCCATTTACAGTTTAATAAAATAATCATCTGGGTTTGAAAGGAATCGTTAGATAAACTTTCTTTAAGGACTTAAAAAAAGCTTCACACTGTCAAAGCACTAGCAAAAACTTTTGAATTTTGAGGTAGAGTATAACAAATTTTAATTTTCTGACAATACTATTTATCTACAAAATGATAAAAAAAATTATATTGTATGTTCCAAATGTTTGTGGATTAGAAGATAAATTGTGCGCCAAAATATATGTGTCATTTTTTAATGTTTACCATCAAAATAAAATAAATTGGTAGGAAAGGTTTCAACGGTTAATCGATTGCATGGAAACTATCTTTAACTGGGAATCGCCGTTTAATCAATTTTATCCATAATTCAAGGAGAGAAAAACGAAGTAAGTAGTGTTGTTTAAATGTTTTCCAACTAGCATGATGAACTTAAGATCTAGGAATGAGTTTGCTTTTATGCAGTGTTGTTTTTGTGTTTAAAATTATTCATAGAATTTGAATTCAGTGAATGTATTTGTTAGATCTTTTCCCAATACAAGCTTTTACATTAATTATTTGTACTGCATTTATACCAAAATATTTCACAGCAGATTGCATATAATCTATTAAAATCAAAAAGGATTTTAGAATCTTTCAAACTGAACTCTTAATTGCTTTTGCACCCAAATGTTTTTCACATTGTTAATGCCATAATTTATTTAATTGGTTTAACTGCTTTATATTCATTCAATTGGTAACTAAATAAATCTAAATCAGGACATATTTATTAGACATTTTATGGATTGTCTTCACTAAAGATTGCTCTTATGTTCATTTATTTAAAGTAAAGTATTTTATTTTAAAATTTTCAGATCAAAGATTTAATAATATGAAATACACAATGTAAATAATTTAAGTTAGATTCTTCAAGGAATTCAGTTAATTTTGTGTGAATAGTTTGTTTTCAAAATAGGGCCTACCTAAAGTGAATTTAACATCACTTTTTTATTTCTCTACAAAGTATTCTGTATATAAGATATAATTTATTGATGTGATATTTTTTTCCAGGCTTACCCACCCAAACATAGTCCAGCTTCTAGAAACATTCGAGGATAAACACAAAGTCTACTTAATTATGGAATTGTAAGTTGAAAATTTACTGAATGTGTAATTTTCTTAAATTATGGTATTAACCTTTAAGCCTCGAAGGCCGATGTACCAGCCATTAAAAATAACCTAACAACATTTTCTCTTGAAAAAAAAAAAAAAAACAGCTGAAAACTTTCCTAGGCATATCAGTGCCAGAGTGGTAGACTGGTAGGTTTGATAAAACAAAACCGGGTTTGGACATTGTCTCATTGGCCAGGAGACTGTTTATTAAGGGCTCAAATTTCGTCTCTTTAAGGTCATGTGTAAAACTCAAACACTGGAAAATGACCGAAAATGATGATAATAATGACTATGATAACCAGAAGGATGATTTCTTTGTGAATTCTAGATCTGATCAGACATCTTGTTACTTTCTACTTATCCTTACAGTGTGTGTGTGTATGTTGAGTCGGACCACTGGTGTTAAGCAGACACCACTTCGAAAACCACTTTTTTGGGTTCATGGTGACTCGAAAAGGACATTTCCACCCATAACTCTGACTCAACATTTGTTACAAAAAATAATATAGTGCAATAATATACTAGAAATATAGATGATTAATTTTTCAAGGATTATATGTTTTTTCACACTATGGCACAAGAACATCTTTCTTAGCCCTGATCCAGCAAATGGATTTTTTAAATAATTACCAAAGACCAACAGTCTTTGAAACAATGCTGTATTATTCAAAGCAAGAGCTGTCAATCAAGTAGGCCTACCAATTAGCAGAAGGACAGAAAATGCATAAATCATACGACATGAGAATGCAATTGCAAACTAATGTCTTTGAGTTCATTAGTGCCATTCTTGACATTGCTTATTATATTAACAATTTACTCTTCAAGTGATGATTCACATTTATTCATGCGTCATTTGTAATTTCGGCTCTCAATTGTAATGTTACGTACTATGCCATCTGGGGTTGACACGTGTAGTATAACTTTGTTGAGAAACTGAACCAACTTGTGGGGCACATTGACATAGCTTTGCAACAGCAGTTATGTTAACAGCTGTTCAAATTCAATACATAATCAACAGTATTATATAATAAAAACAACAACTGCACAAAAAAACAACAACAATTATTATTGGTGATATCTGTGTGTTTGTTATAAGTGAAAGAAAAAAAACTACCGGGCCAATTTGATTGAAGTTTTGTAGATAGAACAAAAACCCAGCAACACATAGGTCTATTTATTTCTACCTATGTGTTAACCCAGAAACTACACCTCCGTAGACATCTAACATAATGAGCTTTTGGAATACATGTGTAGTACAACCTCACTAACTCGACAATTTTTGGACCAAGAGGTTGTCGAGTTTGGGGGTTTCGAGCTATCCAGAACATTTATATTTTTAATGGGTTTTAATAAATAAATACATATTAGACTAATGTTTACATATAAACGCACAAATGATTATTTTTACATATTGAGTTAACAATGTCGAATATTCAACAATTGAAACTAAATGTTCTGAAAAAGTTGCTTGAAAAGTCAAACACAGTAAGACAAAGCCAGCTAGACATGCGTCCTGTAGCTGTTGACTGTCGAGTTACCGGGTGTCCTGTTGACTGTCGAGTTACCGGGTGTCGAGTTAGTGAGGTTTTACTGTGTCAACAAAATTAAAACAACTAAGTTTACTTTTCCACTTTAAATTTACTTTGTTTAAGATAAGGTGTGATTTTTTTACTGCTTCACAGCTATAACAGAATTAAACCATATAGGATTTCTTCATAGAACTACAGTGCATAGAAGCTGAGTTGGTGCAGTTGTTTCTATGGCCAATGGAAAATGTGTAACTGTTTCCAACAGTAGATTTAAAGAACCACTTTATTCTCTTATGCATCCTGAACCCACTGTGAAACAAAAATAAAACAACTAGTTATACATGTATATAAACACATTTTAAATATTGGGATATGGCCCAGTTTTAAGAACTGTATATACAAAATAAATTACCTTCTTTGCCTGATTTTTTGATTATGTTCAATACTATACAATATGCATATTATGTGATGGTAAAAAGGCCTCTTCAAGAACTGAAGCACACAAGTTAATCTATTTTTAAATATTTTTGTAATATTTGTATGGAATTATAGTGTATTCTTGTGATTATTCACACAATTCAAAGAATATGTACATTTATAGCTATAGTGAACTGTCTCAGTGAACAAAATAATCAGAAACTCTTTATGAAACAGAACAAGTTTTAAAGAAAAAACTGTGATTTTGTACTAAGGTAAATTAAACGCTTCTAATAGTAAACTATCTAAACCAATGAAAGTCAAGTTAACATCACAGTAATGGAAGCCATATTTTACACGTCCGAGACCCTATATCCTAAGATTCTATATATGGGCTGTTTCTATATAACTCTCTTATTTTTCTCATCATTTTCTATTCAACCACCAGACTATATTTTTCAAATAGAATAAATTTTATTTTAATGTCACAAGTTTTGAAAGTTTGAATTGAACAGTCACATTCCAGGAAAAAGTCCCTCACTCATAACAATCGGCCTGTAGTGCCTTTAATTGCTTGTATAGGTAAAGTTAAAAAATATGTTTAAAAAGTAAACTGCAACACACAATAAACAATCATAATTTCTTTATCAAACTACATTTTTAGTTAAGTAAATTTATTCAAACAAATAAATTGTGGTTAAATAAAAAATTCTACAATAGGATATTATACCAAACCCTAACCTTTTAGAATCCATAACGTTTTGGACACTTGTAAAACATAACTTGAACAAACCTAGGTAATCATCTAATTTAATTTTTAATTAATTCCTTGTATAATAATAAAACATCCATCAATCAAAACTTTTACAAATGAGTTTTAAAATTAATTAATGGATATTTTATCTGTGAGATTTTTACTAAATAAATAGGGAAAGGGTAAATGAAAATCAATAGATCCAATTTTTAAATGTACTTTTTGTGTAATTCATATTACATTTTCAATAATTCCTGGAAACCTCCCACTCTCCGTGTCTAACTCTCTGATTCCCTTTCCTAAAGCACACCTGTGATATTTCCCATTGGCTGAAATGAGCAATTCTTACTGTAAATCTGAACTTTCCTTAAATCATTTATGAAACTTATTACAAATGTGTGTGTTGAAGAGCTTAATCTAAAAACTACCACATCAAAACATAATTTAGAATTTAGTTTAAATAGCAAGAAGTACCAAACAGTTTACATGACTTTGTAGATGAGATATGGTTTTAGTTGTCACAGACTCCATGGGTGTTTGTAACCAGCAGTAGGTCAATTCTTTAAGGCAAAAAGAAAATACCATTCAAATATGAGTGCATATTTTAAGCTGAACATAAATTTGAATATAGAATGGAGTGAAATAACCTTTTTAACTGGTCACCAAGTTAATATTTTTCTTTAGCTATTACCATTCATTTAAAGCACCATGATCAAGGACAGCTGCGTCCAATTTCTAACAATGTGTCACAAATTGTATGTAAAAAAGCTACTCAACCAGCTCTTATAATGAAAACTCTATAAGAATATGGCACCCAAAACTATTTGCAGGTATGAAGCTCAATAACATGGAAATTGCAGCTCAGTGAAAACATAACAAACATGGCTTAGATTAGCATAGAACATTTTCAAAGCAGCCTAGTTCTTATGTACAAGGCTGCTTTAACACAAGAGGTTTTAGGTTTGTTGGGGACGCAAAGAAGAGAATAATTCTCCCACAAGTTAGGTGGAGAGGGGCACAATTATCTCACGCCCCATAGCACATCACATGAAAAATGCAGGCCTGCCTTAGAACAGCAGATAATTCAATTCAATTCAAATTAACTTTATTCATCAAGTAACACATTTCTATTATTCAAATAAAGTAACACATTCAATTAAACATTAGGAATATATACATGAATAGTGTCACATTTCTTAAACAATAAAGTTATAATAAAATATACATGCTTATTGTAGATAAGGGAAAGTTTTTAAAAGAACAAAGAACCGACAGAAAAATATATAGTATAAATAAAGTTAAAACATCAAATTTGATTTAGTAAATTACAGTTCATTAATCATTAAATGATAAAAATGAATGAATAGCCCTGCTAATGAAAAATATCTTAAGTTTGTTCTTAAATTTTTTTGACAAAAAAATAGTAGTAGTATAGTCATTTCTGCCTGTATGTCCTTCGGAAGTTTGTTAAAGAATTTTGTAATGGCATATTGGGGTTTCTTTTCAAAATGGTGCAATTTATGAGGACTTAATTCTAAGCTGCCTCGATTTCTTGTAAGATAATCATGTTTCTTTCCAAACCAGCTCTATTTCATGAAATCTGTTTTTAACTGATACTGTACCACTGTTTCAGACACATACATACCGAAAACTGTACTTATATTTTCTGATTTAAACTTTTTCTTACCAGAAGTTCTAGGTGGGAGGTTGTAAATTATTCTTATAGCTTTTTTTGCATTCTAATATGTATTTTAAGTTGCCCTTATTGGTTGAGCCATAAAGGGAAAATCCCACTGAAATAACTGAATGTACTGTATGTATGAAAATTAAACTACATTTAAAGTTTCTCTTTCGCAATAGTTAATCTAATTAAGGCATATAATCCGGAAGAAATTTTTGAAAGCAGTTTTTCATCATGACAGTTCCAATTTAGTCTTTTATCTATTACTAATCCTAAAAATTTAGTACTATCCTTAACTCAATGGTTTTATTATTAAATTCAACAATCGGTCGAGGTCGATTTCTGGTTGGTCGAGTTTGAAAATTTATAATTCTTGTTCTCTCCACATTGAGATTCATATTTTGGGAGCTAAACAAATTATCTAAAACGCATATGTCTGATTTTGCTTTGCTTTCTAACCCTTCATTTGTTGGGGCTGCGATTTTCAAATTGGTATCATCAGCATACAAGCAGAGTTTACTTAAATTACTGAGTTGCGGAAAATCTCTCAAATAAATAATAAATAAAAGAGGTCCCAGAATGGATCCCTGCGGAACCCCATTTAAGTCAGTGGTGAAAGATTGATATGGAATTTTATAGTTTTCATGGTTATGATAAATAATTTCAACAAACTGTTTTCTGTGAGAGATATAAGATCTAAAAAGATTTAAAGCAATCCCCTCTATACCCAAGGTACTAAGCCTTGAAATATATATATTATGTGATATTGAATCATATGCTTTTTGCAGGTCTAAGAACAAACACGCTACCTTAAATTTACCATCAAAACTATCAATGACCGATTCAATAAAATCAGTGTCAGCAGTTATGTGGCTTACCACTACGAAACCCATGTTGAAAGTTGTTATTTTCAAAAAAATTACCAATTGATTATAAATTACTTCTTCATAAATCTTAGATATAGAGGGTAACAAAGCTATAGGTCGATAATTTTACACCATTTGCCTGTCCCCCTTTTGAAAAAGTGGTTTTAATTTTGAATAAAAGGTACAAAAACTTAGTACCACAATTTTTCCAACTCTTGACACTCATATTTGCTTCAGCAACTTCATTTTAAAAAATAACTCAAATAAATAATTTTTATAATTGATTTTATTAAGCAGAAAGATAAGTGTTATTTGCAGAGTAAGCTCGACATCAGAATCAAATTGATTTGAACAAACAATGTGTACAATAATTTCTGTCTGTTTCAGAGTCACTGGAGGAGAGTTGTTTGACAGAATTGTTGAAAAAGGATCTTACACTGAAAAGGATGCCTCGGACCTCATCAGACAAGTCTTAGAAGCAGTAGATTATATGCATGAGCAAGGCGTAGTTCATAGGGATTTAAAGGTTAGTAAAAAAATTGACTAGAGAGTTGCATATATTTTTAATCTAATTAGGACATATAATCCGGAGGACATTTTTAATCCTCTGCTATTGGATTATGTGTTGTATTGGAGAGTTGCCAAGTTAGTATTTAGCATTTATTGAACATCCTTTATTATTGTACAGTAGCATTAACATTAGTTACTAAATGATATTACCTATTTCAAATTACCATCAGGTATCAGGATGTTTCCCTCAAACCGATGCAGACCACATTCACACAAGCTGAGGGGGTGGGAAAGCTGTATTTCCGCTGCGTTAGCAATTTACCTTTATTGATCATTCTATCGTCTAAGTATACATTTTATTTGCAGTTTTATAAAAGCTAAATATTTTTAATAACCATATTGAAAATTATTTCATAAAATAATTCACCACACAACACATACAAAAATTCCATATTTAAATTAAAAATAAATTGAAATACTATGGAATAAGCTATACCACATAGGATAACAATTTGTTAACCACCTTCCCAGTAAATATTAGAAATGATGAAAAGAGTAAGAATTTAATAAATTAACTAAAAGATTAATTAGTGGAAAAAGCTTTATACCCTATTCCCTGGAAGAGTACTTTTCCACATCCCTACTTAGTTTCTGTTATAATTAATTTCATTTTGTAAAAATTTTCACTCACTAGCTCTTAGATTTGTATGGTAAATATGATCTAAGACATACCTACAGTTTGTAAATATTATTTTAAGATAAATTAGTTATTTGACACCATTCAGTATACAATGCTGTACTTTATGAATGTGGAAATTCAATTTGATAACTTGAATGTAGGAATATGGTATGTGTGAAAAAGAGTATATTTACATTGCCTCTTTCCACACTACAAATTATAACGTTAGTACAAAACATGTCCTAAAATCTTATCAAATTCCATCTAGGTGATTCATTAAGTAAATTAATAGCACTACCATTCTCCGAGAAAATTAAAAAATTACAGTTCATTGTTTATTTAAAAAATAATATTCAGCCCAACTATCTCCCAGCTTTGCTAGAAGTGAGTATTATCCAAATAGGATTTGAGAGTCGAGTCAAAAGTAAGATCGGAAGTGTAGCTAGGTGTGAGTGACAGGAAGTGGTGCCCTTTACATCTCATCCCTAGCTTCCACTCCCACTCACACCTTCCCCACCCCTCTCCCTTCTCGCCACAACACTTCATCCCGCTACACCCTGTTTACTGTAACAACAACTTGTAAGGCTCTCTTCGTCAATGAGTTTTCTTAGTTGTCATTGGTAGTCCAGTATCTTTCTCGCTTTAATAAACACGTTTTAGTGTTTTAGAATATCACATTTTAATCTTGTGAGCTTGAATAAAACTTAAACATTCCCCTTACAAACTCAAAGTAGCATATATATCACTAGCAGTAGCATATTTATCACTGTGGAAAGATTTGAAACATTTTATTAATTTGGAATCTGTATCATTAATTTAATATTCTATATTGGCAGGGATAAACATTTAGTTTCCAGAGGTAAATAATTCCTAGAAAACTACTTACTCTAAAATGTTTTTTTCCTTCAGAGGTACTATAGTAATTTTACTAAAATAGCAGATATTAATTTTGTAATGTAACGTTATTATGATTTATACAAAACTTGCATATTTATGGATTTTGTCCTCTATTAACTAAAATACATTGTTGGCTCAGGTTTAATATTTTTACACATATCTAAAAATAATTAAATACATTCCATCCTTTCTATAAAGAAAAAGCTGGACATTTTTCACCACTAATTGAGAATTTTTCAAGTATGAACAACATACTTTAAAAACTTAAGTGGCCAGCTTGTAGTGTGAGACTCCAGCTAAAGCTAACTATTTACTACAAAACCTCCTCTACTCAGTTGGATACAGACCTGGAATTGTTTGTTACAATACTTCTGTTAAAAGGTTTTTTTACTGACATACACAGATTACAATACATGTAAATTACTCTCATAAACTTTAAATAATTTAGTTACAACATTTTAATGACTTTGTTAACAGAGATCACAATGGATTACATTTTAGGAGAATAATATTTGACAGTATATAACATAGAATCAGTGTGAGTGTTTTTCTTTTTATTTTGCCATCTTCCGGTAGTGTCCTTTTCCACTTTTTCATACCTCTCAAAGACAACTAAGCTTATAAATCAAATGTTAAACACTGCAAATATACAAAATTATATATTTATATAATTAAATACAAAATTATATTCAACAACTTCATGGCCAACATGTGAATTGAGCAATGCTTACACAGTATCTAGTGTCTAATACAAGTTAAACCTAGGCTAACACAGTTAATTCAATTTTTTTTGGAGCGGAGAACATCCATGATTATTGTCAACAAATTCTGATACCAGTTTCGCATGAGTACCATCTTTATTAATTCATGATTTTTTCCAGCCTGAAAACCTTCTTTATTATAGTCCTGATGAAGATAGCAAAATAATGATTAGCGACTTTGGACTTTCTAAAATGGAAGACTCCGGAATAATGGCAACTGCTTGTGGAACTCCTGGCTATGTTGGTAAGTGAAGTTCTCCAAGTTTATTTCTTATATGAAGCCGAAATAGTAGTTAATCAGCACAAATGGACCTCTGTCAGAAGACCTTGGAGTGAAATACTAATTTCTAGTGTCTCCAGATGAATGAAATCCCAGTCATCTTATAATAAACTAATGATCTTGGAAAGGTGTAATTATTTTGAAATGTCAATACTGAGAAGATTACTGAGTAACTAAACTAATAAGCTATTGGCTGGTTAAACTAAATGTTGATCCATATGATTTTAATTTTTTTTTTTCATGAGTAAATTTTCTTGTAAACATATGTTATAATAAAAGTTGGTTGATTTTTAATCAGTATATTTTAGTCTAAGTAGTTTTAAATTTTGCTTCAGTTTTTCTTAGTTTATAATTCAATTGAGTATGTCTTTTGACAGTTTAATATCTTTCTTAGGTTGATGATTAAGCTACAAATCAATGTGTGTTTATTAATTATCCTAAAATCACAAATGTAATTTTAACTCTAGTTTCTAAGCTAGTTAGTAATACAGTGACAAGATTGACAATGTGTTAAGCATGTAGGAGGTCACATCTCCCCACCACAGTCAAGTCCCCCCTGCATCACCCTTTGAAACATTGTAGAGGGGGCTTAAAATACTCATTATAGGTTGCTAAGCCTTTGAATAAATTGACTTGAAACCAGTGTAAGAAACATAGATTGGGTTCTGCAAAACAATTACACCAGAGGAGGCAATTATGTAAAGGATTGGGATTTATTGGAGACCTTCTTGGTATTATTTATTTAATTCTCGTTTCATTAGTGGTATGTCATCTCAAAAGCTAATGAAACATTTATATTGACCAATGACCATCCCTTAGCTATATTATGATTCTAAGAACACCACAATCCAAAGAGAAATCTGTCTTGCGTTATGTGTCTCCTCTCAGGTCAATGAGTTTTACTCAGAAAAGGTTGATTGCACTGTTGAGTCAAACTAAATCAATCGAATATCAATATTGTCTTTCAACATGACGCATCATTATTATTACACTACTCTTACTTGTTATTAAAAACTTGTCAATAAAAAAAAATATTTTACATTACTAGTATTTTATTAAATCAACACCTATTTCAAACTTTACAAAATTTCTCAATAGTCACTTTTCAGCAACGCATTTTCCCAGCATCTTTTAGCAGATTACTGTAAAAGCACTTTGCTAAGTTTCGAGATCGGGTATATTACTAGGTAACTACAGGAGTACTAGTAGGGGGGTTGTTTGGTGGCTTGTTGTTGCTGTTGTTTTTTCCAGTCCTATGATCCAGTTGTTAACCCACGATGATGGTATAAAACATCTTAACCTGTCAACCCAGCTGGAGGAGCGAGCTGGTCTAGTGGTTAAAGCGTGTGACTTCGCTCTCTGAGATCCCGGGTTCAAATCCAACCAAATCACCAATGGATTTTATCCAAGTGATAATGCCACAACCCCTAGGTCTAGCCTGAAGTAAAGTGAAAAAAATCTCAAGCTCGTGCCATAAAAAAATTGTCAACTCAGCCACAAGGAATATTTCTACTAAAGATTTTTTATATTGCCCTCTTTTCCATCTGAACTATACCTGGACTCAAAGATACTTCACATCATCTTTCATCACCTCAATTGTTATCAAACAATTACGTAGTTCTGTAAGCGCTTAGGTCTTTTCATTGCTTCCAACAATAGACCTGTCAGTGTCAATATCCTTTGTTTGGTCCAATAACTCTTTCAGGCTAACATAGTCTGAAGTATGGAATTCCATTGTTTAGCAGTTACCTTTTGTAATTATTATTTGAATCATATTAATTTCTACAAAAGCTAAGTTTTCATATTTTATTTTTATCTCCTGCTTCAAATCTGAGTTAGCTTTGGACGTATAATTTAATTTGATCGACAAAGAGTGATGGGAAAGACTAACAATGGTTTTTTGCCAATTCCAGGTATTGTGCTTTTTAATTTGTTGTAAAACGTGTAGCCAGTCCAATCATTGGCATCAATAAAGAGTGGCTCTCTTCTAAATTAAACAGTTATATGGTTTTATTCATCAACGTTAGGCTGATGTGAAAACCTTATGGTTGGAGTATAGTTTATTAATTTAATATTACTCTATTCAAAATCACAATTACTCTTTTCAGAATGGGTGTTTTTTTAGGGATTTAAATAAATTGTTTTCTAAACTTTAATAGAAAATAAATTAATTTGTAGAAGAATGAATATAGGCTACTAATGTTTGAAGTTCATTGTTTGTGATTCTTATTTCTTAGGTAAACAAACCTTTTATTTAAAATGTATGAAAAAATATACGGTAACTAAATTGTTACCAACACATCCAAAGAGTGGTGGATTATGGTACTTAAGTCCCAGAGATTTCAGTTGTTAAAATCCTCCTCTACTCATTTTAAACTTGAACATTTTTGACGCTGGTAGAGGCTTGCAGATGGAAATTTAAATTTTTATAACTTTTTCAACGAAGATTTTGTTGTAATTTTAAACAAGGTTGTAACGATTTCTGAGTGTTATCTAACTAAACGTATTTCCTTATAGCTCGCTACACAAAAGAATCCATTTCAGTATGCGTTTTGACATTTGACATTTTATCAGTTTCAAGATTCAAAACTTCTGTTTTTGGCCATCGCCAACTTGCATATATCTGTAAATGTTCCAGTCAGAACATACAATAGATTTTTACCAGTGAACCGTATTCTTGATTTTGAATATCCATCGAAACATTAACCCATCTGAGAATATGACGGGTAAACCTTTGACTTTGAGCCACATTTACGGTCTTGAGCATATGATGGATGTAGTTGTCGAACCACATTTTCCACTTTAAACATACAATGGATTTCTGTCAGACCGACTTTGCTGTTGCTATAGTTTTGGCTTATATTATTTCTGAGAATTGAATCCATAATTCAATAATTCCATAATTCGTAGTTTTTTGTACGTACATCCACTATCGCCTTTAGATCTAAAGTTTGTTAACTCGATTCTGAGAAGATTTGATTCTGGGCCTGGCTGTAATTTGGGATTGGGCTACTATTCAATTATGTGTTTGAGCAACATATGGTGAAATAATAAGACCAAGGTTTGGACTGCTCTTTTCAAACTAATTTTTAAATACCCAGCGTTAAAAACACAAAACTGCAATGCATAAAAATAGTTTCTTAACCATTATAGCTTGTACGTTTTTCTTTATTAGTTTATTATTCTTTAGAGTGAGAATGGTATTCCATCTTACTTTTTTTTTACCAGGATTGTGATTTAAGGTTCTGAAAACAACTATTATCTCAATTCCAATAAACAATTCTGTAAAACACCATAGGTGGTTTAAAAGATACAAATACCAATTGATAGTTTTGGCCCATTTTATTTAGTTAATATACTACTGTATTATTGGTAACCATAAATTTCCTGTTATATTTCAGACTTTGTAGAAAACTGTGGATAATAGTAAGTTACTGTTTGTGGTTTTAAGTTACATTGTTTTGGATGGTAAATGAATAACAAGCGATTCACGTATTACAAGTGTAGTCAAACATTTTGTTATAAATTATTATATGATGTAAAGAAATTATAAGAAAACTTTTCTAACTGTTCTTTTCATAAGTTAGAAGTTTTTGTAACAAAACTAACTCAATTTTATGTTGTTTTATGTGAGTCAGTTAAGTTTTTATTACTAATAAACAGAACTATTACTATGTCATTGATTCTTCAAAATTGAATTCAACATTTGGGAAATAATGACTGCACTTTTTTAAGTACTTGAATCCACCCCAGCTGTTCTTTTAGTTTTTTATCAATTATTTTAGCTGTAGAATCAGCTGATTCTAGTCAGTATGAATTTATTCATCTTATCTTTACATTACATTACGAAGCATTCAAATTATTTTGAATCAATCTCTTAACTTTTGTTATATAAACATGAAATTTAAAAAATAGATTGTTCAAAGTAATACGATGTACCACAATGTTAAAGGAAGAGTACAATAGCGCCAATCACGCGTTCAACCTAAAGTACTGACTAATGAGTGTACATAGTCTTCCATTATTCTCTGTTAAAAAATACTTCAAGTAAAACTCTATGCTCTCTGTGCTAAATTTGGTTGTTTCAAGAATTTGTTTTAGATAATGATTGTGTTTTTTTCTTTTACTAACATAAACTATAATGCTATGTGAATTGTATATTTTTATTGCTTTTTGCTACAGCAACTAATGTTTTAAAGGTGTGAATATTTACATGATTGTAATTGAACAATTATATTTATTTATTAGTGTAGTTTTAACAATAACCCAGTTAATAAAGATGGAGTAGTATAGTTTATAACTAATACACTGTGTAATATGAAGAAAATAATATTTCTTGTTAAAATATTTATACTTTTTATGTATAAAACTATTCATCTATATTTAGCAATAATTTTGTTTCACTAGCAATATAACAAAAATAAATTATTCATACTAATTTTATAAGAACAATGTTTTTGTCTTAACCCACCATCACATCTTGTTCTCGTCTACACAACAGATAGTTTTTACCTGTCTTTGACTTAGCCAATACATAACTTTCATTTATGTTATTAGTATATTGAAACCACCAATTTGTTTTGTTTTTAGCTCCAGAAGTATTAGCTCAGAAGCCGTATGGCAAAGCCGTGGATGTTTGGAGTATAGGAGTGATTTCCTACATTCTACTCTGTGGTTACCCTCCTTTCTACGATGAAAATGATGCCAACCTTTTTGCACAAATATTGAAAGGTTTGAGTTATTTTTAGGTGTTAAAAAACATATATTTATTTTAAATAGATAACATACAATTTTGAGACAACAGAAGGAATGAACCTCAATCATCAGGACCTTAATCCTTTCAGACCTTTTTAAACCTCTCAGGACCTTAATCTCAAGATAGACAAACCAGTGTATTTTTTCACAGTTTGGAAGAACATATCTTCCCTAAAATCAATTTTTATGTTAAAGTTTGAATATTTTTTGGCTGTATTTTTGTTGACTGAAATGTGGAATTATCTTTAAAAACCTTAGATACCTTTTTGTCCCTACAATAATCTGTCTAGTACCTTACACAACATGTTGAATTTTAATTTAGTTTTCCACTGGTACAGAGGAAACTTTCTTATGAGACAACCGTGCTCTTTCAGCTATTGTATGTTGTGCCCAAAATATACTTGTGATGAACAAGCAAGAGCCCAAGCAGTGAACACTGTGTGGATATTCCTATCGCACAGGGCACAGGGTCTTTTTCCACTGTGAGCGTTGTAGAACGTGAGGGAGAGGGTGGCGATGTTGGACTTTGCCCTAGACACTAGTGACTAGCGCTAGACACCAATTAAGTGTACCATAGAGTGTTTACTTTGTACCTTACTTATATGTAGTTTTTTTTAATTGGGAGCCATGGCCGCTACTGTGTCCTCCCCCCTGGCTGGGGCTCATGGATAAAGGGTGAAGCAGTGACTCCAAGGTTTAGCATTCAGAAAGACACACACATTTTGTAAACATCTTCTAAAAATTCATAAGTTTAAGCAAAACTAAATTTATGTGTTAATGGAAAGAATAGTTAATCTATAATATTAAAACGAAACAGTGTTTTTTTAGTTCACGATTCTGAATCAACCACTCGACGGATTTTCATGATTTTTGTGTTGAAAGAAAGACAATTTTGAGAACTAGGGAATGTCGAAGCCATAATTTTAGTTTAGGGTCCCAGTTTTTTAGAAATTAAGTTTTAATTTTTAAAAAGTCTAGCAGCCGACGCTAAGATTCTAAACTAGCTTTTGGCATAAAATCATTTGCTTAACATAACAGCTGTAAACATTCATCTTTTGTGTCACAAATTCTGCAATTGGATAAAAATGTAAAGACATAGTTAGGGTTGACTAATTTATACTATGTGTAATGCTAATCATTGATACGTTCAATTCTTCTGTAAAAGGATGACAGATTAATTAAATATACATAGTAAAATACTAGGATGTTCAAATTATTTTTTAAAGCAATCTTTGTAATCTTCGATTTGTTTTAGAGCAATATAATTTGTTTTAACTAACAGCTGGTTAAATATAAACTATGGAACTATGAGGTTATTTTATTTTTGTCATTGATTATAGGAAATAAGTAAGATTAGTAGAGATAATTAGACCACAGTTTTAACAAAAAATAATTAAACCACAGTACAAATCGAGGCTCTGTACACGAGCCTTAATAAAAAACGATAAATGCAAATTATTTTACTGCTCCACTTTTCAAGGAAAGATTAGAAAAATAACAAAGTTTACATGTTTTTATTCTTCATGGTAGCTTTTTGTTTACAATTAATGTTTGTCTGCTTTAACTGTGTTTGGATTAGGCCTGGAAATATTGATGTCATAAAAAGAAGATCAAGAATAATCAGGAATCACGATTTTAAATTACCACCACAACCTCAGCCGGGTTTTATACAAAGATAAACAGATAAATGACATAGATTGAACACAACATCAACATTGACCTAGGATACTGCAATAATTAGACAAACCATCCTTTTATGAAATCGTGTTCAGTTGTGGTTACATTTGGGGGCGCCTATATCAGCGCCCCCAAACGTGAAAATATCACTTTTATTTAAACTATGAATATATTGTAGTTTAAATTAACTTATATGGGAAATTACGATGTACATTTATTCAATGAGGGTGGGTAATTATCAATGATAGAACTGATAACGGTATGGATAATAAACATTGACAATTACGTCATTAGCTTTACTGGCGTAGCGTGTTTACTTTTTATATTCCTGCTACATATGACCAGTTCTTTTTTTCAAATGAATGTTATTTGAACCAAACAGCTGTTTCAAAACAAACTGTTATTGTTTTTACTTTTCTTTGTTTACGCTTATTTATTTAGCAATTAATGCAGTGAAATTGATATAAAGGATAGGTGTGACGATTATCTTTGATGTTAGGACACCAAAGTTAAATTATGTGTACTGTGAATTTTATTGGATACTATCGTTTTATTTTAGGTCGTTTCTATTCAGACCTACTGGAAATTGTGTATAGTAGTTGTATTGTGGTGATAATAATTATGGAAGAGGGAGGTATGCTATGGAAGGTGGTATCGTTGACTAGGTCTATAGGGCCTACACTTCTCAATTGACTATTACTCTCTCTACTGTAGGCTACTTATAATCAGTATGCGTCTGTGCGAATCGGCTGCAAATCTCACTTCAACGCTTTTCACATCGTAAAAATTGCAGAATTATTGCTGTTTTATTGTAAAATTATCGGATTTAAAATGCATATCGTATAGGCCTATGATGGAATAAAAACATATTTGGTCACACAACATTTGTTTACAAGATGATTTTTCCAATTAAAACTGCAAGAAACTTTGTCTTTATATGTGTAAACTAGCTGATCTGCATTGTACATGGTTTTAACTGACTAATGAATTCCCGTACGTAGGACGGGCTAACACCTCGTTTGATTTATTACTTTTTCTGTTGTCTATGGTATGTTATAAATTAAAGTTTATGCGGTATAATTATCCGTATTTATTTGCATAAAATAAATTACATAAGAAGCTATTGTATAACATATAAATGCTAATTACAGGAGAGTTTGAGTTTGATTCGCCTTATTGGGATGACATTAGTGACTCAGCAAAGGACTTTATCCGCCAGCTCATGTGTGTGGACGTGGACAAAAGATTCACCTGCCGTCAAGCCCTTGCTCATCCATGGTACGTTTATTGGAGACTCCTACATTACCTAATTAACTATACAAGAGACATCTATATTCACAAAACCAAATCTGTATGTCTCTATATCTTTACTACTTTACCAAACTGACCATCCTAAATAAATTCTATCTCAATAGAGAACAATTTTCGTCATCCGATTTCAGTAAAAATGTGGAGAACCACTCATTGGTGTTGATAAGCATATTTGATAGTTTTTAATCCTCATAGACAAACTTAACACAGCAGACTAATATTTGGAATGAAATAGTATTTCCGAAGAATTGTCGTTTTTGTTGGTACCATGCTAAACAGTAAACAGCATTAACTAACCTCACTTTTGATCAAATTTGGTTTATTTGACTATGTTGAATCTTACAACTATTGAGCTAGCTTAATTTTAGTAGTTCTGTTAAATGAATTTTAGTGTGTATTTGTATTGATACATGCACTGTCGACTTTGACTAGCTTGAAATTAATGGAACTAACAAATTTTTCTTCAAGCTACAAGTCTACATAAACATTTTAGAGGTCATTCATGATTAAATTAACTGAGGTACCAAGATGTTAAGATAAATAGAATGAAAATCATATTTACAGATTTAAAGAATAGTGTACTTTCTTCTTTACAGGCAGTATAAAACTTAACTTTCAACCATTACATGACTTATCTTTTTCCTCTCAATGTAACTCAAATACTATAAGCACAAACACCGTTTATGTGACAATATATGGTAACGCAGGAGATCTTTTATAACATATGGTTCATTATTACATTACAAATTTTATGCCAGGGATTCGACTTATAGAAGTCCATAGGAAAAACTTTGAGTGATAGACTTAAATTTAAATTTCCACTTGCTAAGATAAAGTGCAGGTTGAATATACCTCGCTTGAACTTTAATTTATGGACAAAAATTTGTTTCTATTCAATTTATAGGTCAACCGTAAAACCATTCTGAGTTTTATTATTTGTTTGAAATTTTTCTTGTTTTTTTAAAGGAAATTGAAAATATTTTAAGAAATCTAAGTTATCAAGTTCAAGTTAGCATGAGTTGGCTGAGTATAACTAAGCTAGGAAATTGCTTACAATAGGGCAACTATATATTCTCTCAAATAATTTATCTGTTTCTTATCACACTTTATTACCAGGATCTCTGGAAATGCAGCAAGCAACAAGAACATCCATGGAACTGTATCCGAACAGCTGAAGAAGAACTTTGCCAAGTCGCGATGGAAGGTTAGTGTTTTTTTTCTGAATTTTTTGTTTACTTGACTTTTTGAAAGATTTACACTAGCCTGTTTGATGTAGCCACCAAAAATCACCTAATCTTCTATTACGGACTCAGTGGGATCAGATTAGTTACTAGAGTAGACCACGTTAAAATGGTTTAATGAGATTGGAACAATGTTAAACAAAAGCCACTGGTACAATTACAATTTCTTGACCATTTGTATACTGTTTACTCTAGGATATGCACTTTTTTAGCCTCTCGCTACGCTTCATATTCACCAAGACAAATACAATCCTACCCATTTGTTGTTATCCTAGTTTCAAGTGCTTGAATTATATTAGATTACCTTTATTGTTGTTGTCTGTGTTTTTGAGTAGGTAAGATGTTTTGTCACCCTATGCATTTCGCCGGTTTGTGTGGTATCTTCTCAGGGATCTCCTCACCTGAAGATGCCTCACAAACTGGTGAAACGCAAAGGGTGACACAAACATCTTACCTACTCAAAAACACAGACAACAATAATAAAGGTAATTTAATATAATCTTACACAGTGCTACTAATATTCACATTGTACTAATACTTTGAGATTTAACAATAGGTGTCTCATGTCTTTACAATACTTGTGTTGAGGCAGAATGTTGAAAATAGTTATTTGTGCAACTAGTGAGCAAAGTGAGCAATTTCCTCACTCAAGAGAAATCCTTACTCACAAGCCGTAGGCGAGTGAGGAATGGTTTCTCGAGTGAGGCGATTGCACTTTGCACTCGAGTTGCACATTATATTTTTCCTACAGTTACCATAAAACAAATAAATTGGTAAAAAAACGTGCCTTCACGTTGCAAATCTCACTGATGAGCGAATTGGCCACTTTGCTTTCTCAAATCAGTGAGAGAACATGTACATTGTTAGGTAACTGTAGGAAAAACTATATACCAAAGAGGATTGTTGAGACGTCGGTGATTGACTGTGGATTCATTAGTGGATCAGTATTACCTCTGTTGTTGGGTTGGATCTAAGCTCTAGTAATTAATTTGATTAGTACTGCCTAACCTCACTAACCTTTACTCTAACGGCTGTTTATGTATTTTTTTAGATTATCTTTACCGTACTGGATGTAAATCATGAGCCAAATGTGATTGTGATAAATCGGTTATATTGATTATATATTTTAGTTATTATAAATATATCTACCTTGTAAGTCATCAGGTTTAAGTCACCTCAGTATTTGAAGGTAATGTTGCAGAGGAAACAAATGAGAAGCCAATTTATTTTCTTTTGTCCTACCCATTGTGTCTCATGAGGTAGTAAAATGATAACATTTTATTAGGTTTTAAAAACGCTTAAAAAAGGCACTTTGTCTTTGACCTGTATTTTTTATCCACAATGATAAAATTCTAAAGGGATGCTGAATTGTGAATTGCAAATTATTGTTTACATTTATAGAACATTAATTTTAAATAGTTCAGATCAAACTTTATTGTCACAAAAATATTCGTAGAAACAAAAAGCATAGCTGTAAAAACAGGAGGCATTCTAAAATATTTGTAATACAGTAAATATACATTCTACATTCTAAAATTAAAAATAAAATGGTTACTGACAGATTCTGTTTGGATGTCATTGTGTTGTCTATAGTTTAAACATCTACTGCTAAGTATATACACGTTATTTGTTATGTCTTTTTAAAATCAATATATGGTGAGTAGGTGGCACAGTGAGTAGAACTGCAACTGACTGTTGAACCAATGCAGAGATGTCGTGGGTTCGCATCTTTGTGTTGCCGCTAAAATTTACCAATACAATTTATTCCTTTTCTGTGCCGACTTACCGCATACTTTTCTAAACACGTTCCACACACAGGCCAAATCAACGGGTAGATCCAAGGTTAGAAAACCCACTAACCTCTTTAAAATTCTCAAAAATGCTTCATGGTCCAAACAGACCAAATAACAAGTTAACAATGTTTTTACCGTAACAATCAAGGCAGGAAGTACGATTGATTTTCAATTGAAATAAACTAATCAAAATCAAACATTGAGTAGGATGTGTGTGTTGTTATGATGTATGATGAGGGGCACAATATGATTCTGTTTGCAGCAACTAATGAATGCTATAACAATGGTTCACAAGATGCAGAGGCTAGCTCTGATTAGTTCTAGTAATATGGATGTTGAGGGTTCTCCTCACAAATGCACTACTATTGAAGAGGAAGCAGAGACCGAGTCCACATCAGAGGTCCAGCAAGGTATCTCCCGCATGGGTATTTCTTGAGTCGAACCAGGCATTTTATTTGTTTATTCCATCTGTATGTTGTCAGTCCTTCAACCTCTAGTTTTAAGTTTGGAGATTCCTTCCTTGCCTTGCATTATTTTCAACTAGTTGCTTTACAAAGGGGGTTTATTCAAGTATACAGTTAATGGTTGTTTGGTTTACTGTTTTTTTTTTTTAGTTTGTGATCCTTAATAGCTTTATATTTTTAGTTTATTTTTTGCTTAAAAAATGTTTGCTTTAAATTTGAAAATGCTGTTTGATGTTCCAAATGCAATAAGAGGATGTAACGATTCACATTTGTTAATACATATACATATTAGACTACCGATAATGTAATGGATATAGGCCAGATCTCAGGATTATAGATAATTGTGGAATACTGGAGATAATTTAAAAAAACAAATTTTTGAAATGGTTAAGGTGAGAATACAAAAAGAAATTATATGAAAAAAATAACCATCTATTAAAAAGTCAATTTTCTAATTCATGGAAGAAGGATATAAAATCAGGTATACCTACAGTAAGAAAATAATCAATAGCAAACAGTGGTGGATATAATACCACTGACTGGGACAGGTGGTGACGCCCTGTAATCCAGCTACTAGGAGTTGTGGATATTTATAGGTATGCACTGTGGATGCGATACTCCCTGGTGTGGATTAACGTCCGCACGAGTGAGTACTACGACTATCTGCAGTACTATCCTGATAATTAGACCAATTTGTATATACCAAGGCGAAAATGTGGTTCGGATACCACTATAAATTGTAGGTCCCTTAGTTGCCATTAGCTGTATGGGCTATTAATTAACAGCTGTGTCTAAGGAATATGTCGGCCTTAGTCACTAACAAGACTACAAGATCGAGCCACTCATCCTACACTCATTTCCATTCATACTTGGCTTAAAATACATACAGTAGAGTCCCGATAATCTGAACTTCGGTAATCCGAAAGTCCGCTTAATCCGAAAACGTGTTTTTTTTTTGTTTTTTTTTTTGGAAAAAAAGATATTCAAAAAAATGTTAAAAATGAAAAACGGTTATGCTTTATTAATAGAAAAAACAGTGAATAATAGAATGGCAAGTACAAATTACACAAGTACAGTAGCCTACTTTTCAAATGTATAGTACAGTAAAGACAGTGTTTGAAACTTACATATAGTGTTGAACTGAATGTCTTAAGTTGGTTTAAAAAAGTCTGTTACAATTTTTTGACGAAGATTGGAGGATCTCTCTTTAGAAGCATAATGACGCCAACGCCTTAGAAACAATGTATCGGCTGGGGTCGAGACGGACTGTTGTTCAACGTAACGTAGCGCTAGATCAAAGGCAGCCGCCGCGTCCGAGTGGGATACTCTCTGCTCGCTGCCGTCGTCAGCTTCGCCTTCACTCTCGTCTGAGATGTTTTCTGGTTCCCTCAAAACCCTTTCAACGATCTGCTGATCGCTTAAAACTTCATGATCATTGTCGTCAGCTTGTAACCACTCATTCACGTCATTTTCATTAGTGTCCTCACACCCAGGAATGTTTTGTAACAGCTCCTGCACCTGCACAACATTGTTTCTTTCTTCATGTTGATTCAAGTTGTCCTGAAAAGTTAGGCTTGGCCACAGTTTACTCCAAGATTTTTTCAACAGTTGTTCACTTGTAGATTCCCATGCTTCTGCTACCCAATAAATGACGTCTTTAATGTTTACCATCTTGAGCTTTTGAAGCAACGAGAGCGTTTCGTCCTGATCTTCCAGTATTCTTCTCAACAACTTTTTCCTATATGAGAGCTTCACATGCTGTAGTACATGTTGATCCATTGGCTGGATCAAAGGGGTCACATTCGGTGGTAAAAACACGGCCCTTATATCTCCACTTATTAATTCGTCGTCTGACGGGTGAGAGGTTGCATTGTCGAGAAAAAGTAATGCTCGAACCGGTAAGCCATTTTCGTTACAAAATCGAGTGACTTCGGGAACAAAGTGGTCGTTAAACCATTCCTTAAATAGTGCTGAGGTCATCCAAGCATTTTTGGAGTTTTTGTAGACGACAGGCAATGCATTTATATTTAGGTTTTTAAATGCCCTTGGTTTTGCTGCTTTGCCGATAACCATTAAAGGGAGTTTATGATTTCCTGCAGCATTACTACAGGCCAAAACTGTCAATCTTTCCTTGCTTATTTTTAAACCAGGTGCACTTATTTCTTCTTTAGAAGCCAGACTTTTTTTAGGCAATGCCTTAAAATTAAGCCCAGTTTCATCAGCATTGTAAATTTGCTGCGGTGAATAGTTTCCTTCAGCAATCAGTTCAGCAAATGTATCTGAAACGTATTCGGTTGCAGCAGCCTCATTTGACGATAGACGTTCACCTAATTGTCGTATGCCGTGACGCTTCTTAAAACGATCAAGCCAACCTGTGCTAGCAGAAAAAGATGTGTCTCCGTTCAATAATTCATTTAGCTGTAGAGCTTTTTCTTTGATCAAGGGTCCACTAATCGGGGTACCCTTTTCTCTCTCTTGAGAAAACCAAACAAACAAAGCACTGTCGAGGTTCTCCAGTGGTGTTGTTTTTGCTGTATGGCGGGATTTTGTACACTTACTTCACTTGTGGAAGCAATACAAAACTGTTCTATTTTCAAACGGTTTTTCTTCCAGTCGGTGATCGTAGCATTCCCCACACCAAACTCAACAGCCAATTTTGACGCACTTTCACCATTGTCCAATCGTTTTAACACTTCAAGTTTGTCTTGCAATGTAACCGAAGTATGTTTACGTTTTGAAGCCATTTCTTCACCACACTCACAACCTCAAAAGATAACGTTACAAAGTGTACATAAATGTACGCGCTGCCACCTATCGGGGAAAGCTGAAACTACTGTACTGTACTACAGTAGCACCATCGCGTAACGCCATTAATGCAGACACATAAAGTGACCCAGTACGTGCTGTCACCTATCGGAAAAAGCCAAAACTGCTAGCACTGTTGTGTTACGACACTTAGTTGCACTTCGTCAAAGTATTATGTAATATCCGAGCAGCTGGGCGGGATAGACTCGTTGTTAGTAGGCCAGTGGGCAATCTTAAACGTTGTATTTCATAGTTACGTGCATTTTAGTAAAAATTTCGCTTAATCCGAAATATTCGGTAATCCGAAATGGGTCCGGTCCCAACCATTTCGGACTATCGGGACTCTACTGTACTTTGTATGGTTGCCATTTCATTGTAAAGTATTAAAGTATTAAAGATTGTAATGGGGCAGAAACTTGTGAAAAATGTTCCTTCTCTCCTTTTTAAAGAATTCTATAGAAATCCTATATTGTGTTAGTCGGTTTTTAGACAATGGTAAGCTGGTAAATTCATGACTTCACCACTAATAACAGATTAGTTTTTATTTCACGAATAAGAGATCTGTGTTGGAATTCCCCCCCCCCAAAAAAAACTTAAGGTAATTATAAAATACTGTAGCTAACCATTTTACACACACTGTCAAACTTATTAATGTGCAAAGGTAGTTATTACCAACCAATTACAACTGTATAACTACTTATTTGCACCAATCAGGGGATTGAATATCACAGCAATATGTAATTACATTACTGTACTGTCTCCAGTGATAGAAATTAAAAAGCCAAGATATCCCGAAACAGCATTGAAAATAATGCCATATCTTGAGATTTAACATCTCCAGTGAATCTGAAATAATACTAGTTTAATTTTTTATCTCATAATTGTCATTAAAAAACATACAATTGACTCTATACTCATTCACACCTTATTTTAATCTTGTACTTTTTCAAACAAGTCTAACTGTGATATACTTTAGTTTATATTAAAATAGAATATTATATAAAATATTAGCAGAGTACCCGTCCTTCGTACGGGGTTGCCGTGAGTATAAAATGCTTACTGCAGTTATACTCTTGCTCTGCGTTTGTAACAGGGGAGGACACGGTTTGAGAAAATTTGGTTCTTTAAATTGACGGTATGCTATAGTTTAACACATCTACCATAGCCATAATGTTCAATCACTACACCTAAACGATAGAAAAAAGTAAATTATCAAACATTCTCACAATATCACAAATTATTTATTAAATTAAAAACATAAACGTAAATGTAAACAATCCTACTTTGAAAGTTCTCTTCGTGTATCTTCGCTTTTTGTTTCTGCTTAGTTTAGATTAGCTTTTGTCATAAATCCAAATAGAATTAACATGTTGAACCCTATGGGCGCTAACAGGGCTTTTATGCTCATATACTGGGCATTTTCGTATTAATTCAAAAAGTTTTAATCAATACATCACTTTAAAGAGGAAATCAAGAGCTTTAAGAAAATATAATATGTTATAGGCCTACAGTAATAAAAAACAAACAAAAAAGAAAAAATAGCCAAGTCAGACAGAGTTCATATAAAATTTACTCCAATGTTGTTATTTATTTTTATGCATACATTAATAGGTCAAATTAACCCTTATTATCATTAAATTTAAACTTTTTATTTTTTTATACATAATTTACATATTGTATATTATTATATATTATATACATATGGTCGCCATTTCAGAATAAAGTATTAAAAGTATTAAAGCATAATATTTAATACAATAATAATACATAACATAATAATACTAGGCCTATGATAAAAAATATAAAAAATATTGATGCCCAATCTATACTCAGGCTTTGTTCAAAACGGCATTGGCGGTACCCCGACCTATTCTTGTTGGGCATAGGGTTTAATGTGTTAATATTGTTGCACCCTTTTGGTAAACCTTGTAACTTTTTAATACTATTAAATATCATAGATCCAACTTGTTTAGTTGAAAGATCTGGCAAAATTCTTCAGTTCCTTATAACCTCATAACATAACATGGAAACTTTGAACCGCCGTGAGGCATAGCCCTATAGGATTTTCACAACTTTAATAATTATGCCTATGTGTTTCTCAAGACTATCAAGCACCTCTCTGCAAAATTTCAGCTCAATCTGTCCAGTAGTTTTCACGTGATGGAACTTCAGAGTTACACACAAACATCCATACTTTCACTTTCACATTTATAATATTAGTAGGATAAATAACAAAGATAAAACTCATAAGTAGCAACCAACAGGAAGGAATCTCTATGGTGTTGTGCACATTTCCATTTACACACTGTGTATTTCCCTCCAATTTTCCCTGGTTACTGACACAACACGGTTCAGAATTCACAGGTAATTGTAGAGTTGACAAAACAGATATTTATCACTTTTTAGTATTGTTACATCTACTCTTCGCACTAGTTACTATTCTTCACTGGAAAGATTGTTGTAAAATACTATTGTAGTTTTGTTTCACCATTAAGGTATTTTATACACAATATTGGAACGTTGATAACCATAACATTTTACCCATTGAGTGTAATTGATTGTTTTGGTATGAAGAGAAATCTTTAAAATAACATTGAGGAATTGTTCACATATCCTAGAGATTAAAAGTTATATTTGGAAACACATACATTCTAAGTATCCTTGGTTGATACACTTTGAGGTTTCTGAGCAGTTCATTGATCATGACTTTGGAACTGTGTTATCAGTAGAGCCTTGAATTACCTTGAATTACTTGATTAAAATAATGCAATCATCACCCAAAGATGCTTAGGAGAGTGTATAACAGGCATAATTCTTCTTTCTCTTGGCAGTTTTCAAGATCTTTAAAGGATATCTCTGGTAGGTTCAAATCTAGATAGAAAAGTACAATGGCCTTTCTTCAGCTCTCAACATACTGTATAATATTTAAAGCCAATTATAAGATCATAATCATTGCTCATGGGAAGAGGAGGTAAATGAAAGGGTTTCAATAGTTACAGAGATAAGCCAATCTTAAAATTTAGCTGAAACATCGACAAACTTCTGAACAAGCTTCTAATCAAATTATGCTAACCTTAGACACAGTTCTTCTTGCTCTGAAGTGGATGGAAAGATTGTTAGCTGTAAAACTTGTAACTAAATCCTAAAACTTGTAACTAAATCCACCTCAGAGGTATGTAGAAACTCTGGAAAGGATTGAGTTTTTTTTTTTTTTTTTTTTTTTTTTTTTTAGCTGGATAAAGGATCAAATTTTATTATTCAAGATTAGATCATGACAGCACTCAAACAAAAGAGTCAAGCAACAGCCCTCGGGAATCCAAGAAAACACTCTTTATTGAAGTAAAAGCCAGGATTTTAAACACAGTAAAATTGTTTGATTAAATCTATTGAGGTGTTGAAGTAATTGATAATGCATTCAGCAGTTTTTAAAAATCGCTGCAGATTCATGGTTCAGTAAACAGACTGTAAATACCTCTTTAAACATTTTCAACAAAATTTTTTATAGATCCAAAAATCAAGTTTGTATTTTTAATACACAAATACAATCATCCAAAGGCGGTTGGTTACTCTAAACCACTGGCTCTCATCAGATCCTTGGAAATGTGCACACGATCCCTGATAATGATTTTTATCCGCAAGCTTTTTATGTGGTGCTCGTTTGGCAGCGGCTGATTGTATGCATTCCTACTCTGATCAGAATTTCGTTTTTTGGTATTTTTTGCTTTAGGGTTCAGGATTTTAGGCATTTGTGGTGAGCATTTGTGGTATTTTGTTACATAGTTATATGTTATGTTATCTTGCTTAACGATGGATGCTGGAAGATACAGAATGTACTTTGTTTTAAATGTTCATAGTCACACAGAATCAAGCTGTTTGAATGGGACTGCTTTTTAAATGGCAAATGTGATATACATTGCAACTGAATGTATTTTAGAATTAGTTTTCATTAATTTATTATTCGTTTTCTGTTACTTTGTGGTTTGTGCAGGAGCTGAACTGTATTTTGTCAAGTTTTGTATTTTTGTCTCTCACAGGCTTTTTGTCAGAAATTGACCTCTATGTTACTTAAATTTTTACCTACAGAGAAAAATTATATTTTTTGCAAATCATATCCATCTTTTTACTATAACTATTAACACTGCAATGGTCGCGCTTTTCTACTGTTTGTGTAAATTACAATTGAATAACATTTTTTTTTTGTCTAGGTGTACTTGTAGATCAAAATTTTCTAATGGGTGGAAGGTTATTAGTCCCATGTCAATGTAACATATAAGAAATTTAAGATAGGCAAATGGTAGTTTGATGGACATTTAAATCAAGAGTCTGCTAGCAAAACCATAAATACACAATTGGATTAATACTGTGTGGTTATTGTTGTTTTGTGCAACCATTGCTGTGTTAATATTAAAAAAAATTATTTAAAGTGCCCAAATAATATTTTTCAATGTGATTGGAGAGTGACTGCATGGAAGTTAACACTTAGAACCACTGTTGTTTTATTGAGCTGACTCAAGACATACGTATCAAAGAGTTTCTGATACTTTTAATTGCTCATAAATGTTCAGTTATTGAGCCCATTGTCTGTTAAGATTGTGCCATTTAGTTCCATGCAATTTTGGTCCAGTTTATTGTTTCATCTGCAAAATCAAGGCAGCTTTAGGTTTTAGTTGGTTGTTTTTTAATTTGTAATTGTCAATTTGTATAACCATAAGATGAGTAAATTAATTTATTCTTATGGATGATTAGTGATAGTACCAATTAAGAGGAGTTAATAACCCCAATTATTCACAGTTAGAGTTAGTAATGGGGATTCAGTAGTAAAATGACTTAAAAATGAAGTGTTTTCTTTTCTAAATACAGCAAAACGTGACATTATTTAACATACAGTCTGTATATTCAAATGCAATAGAGTCTCGGTTATCCAACCTTTAGAACCCTCCTTGTGAACAATGGAGTACCCTGAGGTGACGTGTTATTGCTCTGTGGCATGATAGTACATCATAGCAGGTTCGTTGAAGATATTTACTTGTATTGCCCGGACTGTACTAAAAAACGCTTCAGGTCTCTGCACTTTACTGTATTTTTTTGTTTTCACATGCTTCATATAACATACAGTTCTTCAACTACTCAATTTGTACTTTTTTGTTTTCACATGTAACATATAACATACAATCCTTCAACTACTCATACCTGCATACCTGCTACTTTCTCATGTTTTAGTCTCAGTGCAAAGGGTTACCTTTAGTTAAATGGAAGTGTATCGCCAAAATTTTACTTCTAAAGAGACTGAATGATTTTGTAGCTAGAAAGGCAATCAAAACTTGTTCATAATTTTAAATATAAAAAAAATTAAATGTACTTACCACGTAGTACCACAATGTCTAGGCAAGTAAAAAAAATTCTATTATTTTGATTATTTTCTTTGCTATGCAACCTTTCCGCTACTGTGACACTTTTGCTGCCGGTTTAGGTTGGATATTCAAGACTCTATCTCATAAACCTAATTTTAAGCTACGAACTAACATTCAATATGTCCTTGACCTTTCCTTGTAGGTTTTCAGGCCACAGGAGGACGTCACACATAATGAAAGCACATGACTTTTTATCTAACTGTTTGTACAGCAACTTCTCACTTCTACTTGTTAATGTATTTGTCAGCTGTTCATCTGGAAACAAAGTAATCATGTTTGGCAATCAATATTATTTAACTATTCTATGAATTTTTTAATTGTTGTTATTAACTAGCTTAACATTATTTGTAAAACATTTCCATTTGTGTATTATGCTGGAAGCCATGCTTTACAAATGCAAAGTATTGTATTCAGTGGATTAGTCAGTTTTGCACTTGGTGAATTATGTTGTCCATGTCCATCCTTATTATAAATAAAGACTATAAAACCTTTTTTATCATTTAACTATAATGCTAATTATTCTTGAAAAATTTTAAAATGAGCATAGCAAGAAATCATTTTTCTAAGAGGGTTGTCCAAATGCACTTATCATATTTAACAATTCTTAGAACAAATTTTGAAACTTAGAAACCCTCTTTATTGGTAAAAACAGAATTTGTGCTTGGAAAATGGGCTTTTAGCCTTAATGCCACTGGAATATTATTCCCTATTGTATATCATCAATGAAAAAGGTACATGAAAGTGTAGGGTGGAAGCCATTAGATAATGTTTTCAATAACTACTTTAGAAAAGGTGTAATGACTAACCAATGATTTAAAAAAAAGACTACGGATAGCATAGCTGTACAGTGCAGTCGCGAACAGCTCCAAATATTGCCTAACTTAGGGGATCGTTTGGGCCGATGGAGGTTTCATAGACCTTCTATTGAAGGGATTGTCTTTTCAACCACTTCACATTTTAGCATGCATTTCTTTCTATTATAAGTCATTGCCAAAAGAACATCTAGCCTCACAAATTGGCTGAACACAAAACAAATGCAGCAGGGTGTTAGTATGGAACTTTATCACTCTCTAGTGAGTGCAGGGTGTTAGTGAGGAACTTTATCACTCTCCAGTGAATTCAGGGTGTTAGTGGGGATTCATAGCACTCTCCCAGGGTGTTAGTGGGGATTCATTGCACTCTCCAGTAAGTGCAGGGTGTTAGTGGGGAACTTAATCACTCTCTAGTGAGTGCATGATGTTAGTGGGGATTCATAGCACTCTCCAGTGAGTACAGGGTGTTAGTGGGGATTAATAGCACTCTCCAGTGAGTGCAGGGTGTTAGTGGGGAACTTAATCACTCTCTAGTGAGTGCATGATGTTAGTGGGGATTCATAGCACTCTCCAGTGAGTGCAGGGTGTTAGTGGGGAACTTTATCACTCTCCAGTGAGTTCAGGGTGTTAGTGGGGATTCATAGCACTCTCCAGTGAGTGCAGGGTGTTAATGGGGATTCATAGCTTTTTCCAGTGAGTGCAGGGCTAAAGAGCAGGTAAAGAGCTAGAGTATTAAACTGAGATTGCAATATGTGTCTAAAGTAATTTAATTTCTGACTTTATCCATTCCTTGAGTGTAGATATAATATTTCTGTTTGTTTGCAGCAAGCCTATCATGCGACCACCGTGATACGCAAGATGCAGCAAATGGCGCTCAGCAGTGGCGCTGCCGGCAGTAACCCCTAGGTCTCCAGACTCTCCTACAATTTTGTTATTTATTTTTAGTTCTGTATTAGACTGTAAGTTATTTTTAAAGCATTTTAGAGGACGAGGTCTTGTTGATGACGACTTTTCTTGACAACTTGTGACTTAAACGTCACATTTAGTTTCACAAGAAATATTGACTATGAGATAAAATGTTGAATAAATAATTACTTTTGTTAGTTCATTGACCCCTCTAATGTTGACGAGGAAAACAAGTTTGTATGTTTTGAATTATTCTCTCCTAATTTTGACATCTACTTCTGAGGTGGTTTCAAAAATATAAGATGTTTACAAAATAATAAATGAGCTTGTAAATAAATAGTGCATAGCTCTTTAACAATCTTTTTTTAAATTGTATTCTTAAAAAAATAAATTCAATTTTAGTTCAAATATGGTAACCCATTAATTATTAACAAATTAATATCCTTTTTGTTAAAAGTTAGTTGTTTTTTTTAACTCATGAGTTTTCAAATTTTTCATATTGTATATGTATTACCACATATACAATACCTGCATGCTGATACTGTTTCAGTTACTATCATTGACACTAGGTTGGTTACATGCCAACTGTAATTACCGTAGTTACTTAGTAATTACCTTTTTCAAGAGCAATTTTTTGCTCTGCCTCATATCCCACACTGTCTTATAGTGTGTGAACTTTTTTGTTGTTTAAGACCAATATTTTTATTATTTACAATTTTACTCAGAATATTAACAAAAAAGTATGTTCTTTTTATAAAACGAATGAAACTATCAAATTTGTCAAATGACGACAGAACTTACGATGGCGGTGCTATAAATAAATTGATTACCTGTTTTTTTTTTTACTATTGCATATTAATAAAATATTTTCCTTTGTATCTAAAATAATCAAGTACAGTATGCAGATTACAGTGTGTTATAGTCAAAGACATTTGAACGCTTCAGTTTCTACTCTAAAGCTACATACTTTTGCTAAATCCTCCAAGATTTTGTATTTTTAATTGTTTCCAAGCTCACTAACAAGAGAGATTATCACCCTACAATCTGTTGAAGTCTCCTTGGACTAATCGAGTCTTCAAACAAGCAAATAAATTTAATCCACTAGTACTAGCCTGTATTTTTTTCATATTTCTGACAAGCATATTGAAATTAGTAATAAAAATTACATAATGTAATTTCATATTCAAATCCCATTTAAAATTTCTTTTCATCTTTGGGATGGAAACTAAATCTTACTACGATACGTGAATAGGGGAATGGAGATGGCAATAGAGCCAAGAGCCTTGATTTATCCATACAATAAGTGAGCTTATGATTTGTTTTATCAGCTGATCCATGAGTCACCAAAGCTTAATGATTTTTATTGGTTTTTGTCTGTTCACCTCTCATTTATCGTCTTTTGTGGACTAGAGTTATGATGTTGATTTATAAACTTGACATTTTGCATGAATTTACTCACATAATAGTTAAAGTAACAGAAAATATATTGGAATTATCAAAGAAAATTGTTTATATATTTCATTGGAAAACTGAATGTCCGTGTTAATATTTCTAAGTCGTCATCTAGAAATACAATTCCTCAAAATTTTTATTGTACTATATGTAATCATGTAACCACAAAATATATAATAGATCATTTTAAAACTATTCCTACAAATTATCGGAGTAGTGATGGTTCTCAAAATTGTTTACAGTGTACAAGTAAAATTATTATAGTGTATTAGTCATTATATTCTGTCCATATTCACCGTCAACATAATCTGTAGTAAATAATTCCAAATAAAGCTAATACTTATTTTTTTGTACATACCGAAATAACTTATAATGATCCAAACATGATGTACATGTATTGATTTTAAATCAAAGTATATTAAAGGTTTGAAATGTAATTAATCCAAATATTAATACACACGTACGTACAGGTACGTGTGTATGCATACATATTTTTATATCGCAATAGCTTTAAAAATTTAGCACATTATTGAAGCTTTTAAAGTCTATTTAGAAAGTTGTGTAAGGGTAGTAATTGAATGATCGTTACAGACTACCCAGAGACTTCAGTGTGTTAACTGAAAGATAATAAACAATATTTGAACAGAGCTATGACATTTTATTTTTTATAAATTTTAATGCCGATTCCTTTGTCTTGTTTTTTGCTATCATAGCAACAAGACAAATTTATATGGTGTTCTACTTTGATTTTGAAATAAAACTTTTGGTCCATAGTGTTTTCAGAGATCTTGTACGATTTATTTGGGTTATAAAACGTTGCCTATCATCTACATTTTTGTTTGGCCAAATGCAAAGACTTTAACAGTTTTACAAACCTTGACACTCATGATAGTTAGTATGCCACAACTCATTGATAAAGATTGGCCGTCCCGGAGTGTTATACTGTTTGTTCAAAACAACTTGGTATCTCACTTTAAAGTGGCTGAGGATATTGATGATGTATATAATTTATCCTTTTTTGTAACATGTGATAAGCAAATTTGTGAGGTTTCAATACATATTTTTTTACATTTTTGAATTATTTCTTAAGTCCAAACATTTGTGAATTAAGCAAAAGACTGTGTATTAATTGCATTTGTAAATATCTGTTTGGGTCTATATCTATGTTGTAATTGTAATTTGTCTATGGATCTTTTTTAATTGTGATTTTCATGATGTTGAAATGTTTAGTGTTCAAGTCCAAAAAGAAATTAAACATACCTCCTGTATTACCAAAAACTTAATACTCTTTCAAAACACATCACTTTTATTAACTTAAAGTATATATATTTAGCATCAAAACTGTACATCAAAACGGCCTATGGCAACTAATAAATTAAAAATTAATTTCATGTGATGATTAAAAATGAAAATAATTTAATGGGTGTTACACATCAATGTCCAACGGTAATTAAACAAAAATAAGCTCCAAAGTAGATTGAATCAAATGTATTCAGATGGAATCCTTACTAAAATAAATCAAGACTTAACTAAATCTGTTAGATATTATTTTAAATACAAATTTCTCAAGTAATGATTGTATTGATTGTCGTTTAAATTAATATTGCAATTGACCACAGCCAAGGTAAGTCTATCAAATGTTCTAATTTTTTTTACAAATTTACAAGGCCTAGCCAGTGTTTACAACTGAAAGTCCCATTACAGTGAAATTCTTAAAGTTTTGATTCTACCCATGATCCTATCTTCAATTTCATACTGCCTCCAGTTATAATACAAAAAACGAATTCACTTCAGTAGGAATCAAAGAAAAAAAATATAAATATACATCGTAATTACTGTGAACTATTAAGTGTTTTGTTTAAACTTTGTTGTGGACAATGTTGCTTATAAATGTTATAACCAACTGTAATCCTCTCGTATCTTGCTACTAGGACACTTAGCAATCTTTAAGTTGATTAATGTGTTTGAGCGAAAACAAATTCTTTAGAAAAGCCGTTCATATCTCATAGTTTGTAATCGTATCGAAGTATCTCTCTAGGTACTACACGATCGGTTTCTTGCGTTAGGACATATAAATGCTCATATTTATCTAACACTTATAGCTTGTCTTGTATTTATCTGCAAATTGTAATTCATAACGGTTCGATTAGTCAATTTGTACATAGCTTGATCAATGTAATGGTGATGTGATGGACTAGAAACACGCATCAGTCTATGTACATAGTAGTGGTGCCCGCTTGTTATCTCATGTACATATGTACAAATATTCGTGTACATATTTCTATCAATGTTACATCGTCTGATACTAAACTCTGTTGTTGAGTCTGTTCTATATCCCGTTACGAGATTTACAATTTTATCTACTGTTGTATCTATGAAAAATGTAGTGTTTTAAAATCTCTCGATATATTTATACCCTGTACTCCGTACGTATTTAAAATATTATATACTAGACTCGCTCGAGTATGTCACTTGAGTATTCGGTTCTTTCTTTTTGGACACTGGAATTTGTTGAACGGTGGTAACTATGGGTTGACCATTCCTCTTCTTCATCGGTATTGTTTACGTATCTGTGTAAATTATGTGTTTTGGACGTTTTGCTACATTGTTGTTAAGTGTGGTACTCTGTGATACCATCTGGTTATCTTATCTTTTGTATGCTGATTGTGTAACCTCTGCCATACTTTTCTTCCTGATAATGTTTAACCTATTTTTATACACCTCTTCAATAGTAGCTATGTCTTATCAAATTTGCTATTGTATGGTTGACAGTTTTAAGGAGGTTGAAAATCAGAGTATTCTTGGTCAAAAAATTGTTTGGTTTTGGAAAAGTGTGTGTTATTGAGTAACTGAATAACAAATTCATGATTATTACACAAATATGTTGTTTCATTTTTCCTCAAAGTCCATTGTTTAGTGCAATATAAAATGCAAGTTAGTATATTACGTTGCTAGTCTGGAAAATAAGTGTGTACCGTACTAGTATGGTTGTTCCCACGACCAAGGTAAACACATTTTGGACGAGTGACATACAATATTTTTGGCTATACTATAAAATAACCTAACAATAAAAAACTGTACAAATCTGTTATATATTCCCACTGACTAAAGGGCTTAACAATCACTACTCATAACGTCTAAGATAGGTTATGTTTTTGTTTGTACTCATAACCACTGATTATGATGCAATGACTTATTGTACCTGAACCACGCATTGCACCACTCTTTTTATAATCAGCTGGTGTCCGGTAAAAATTCATTACAGTACAGTAATACGTAATGAATCCCCATTTTATTTAGCAGGCGGCAAACAGCTATTTTCCGGACTTAATTCATCTGTGGAAAATCCATTGAAACAGTTTAGTGTGGTGAAAACAAAATAATTTACCTATGACCGTTTTTTTTTTTTACTAGCCTTTTCAATTCAGTTTTTAGAACCAAAAATATTTACTTTACCACACTGTTAACTTACTTCACAGCACTAGTGTAGTAACAAACCAATGGTAGTTCAAGGATCGAGAGAAAAAAAGTAAAATTGTAATGCATTGAATGTAGCTATTGCCAAACAAATGTGGTTGGGCGAATTTTACATAAAATTTGACATAGATAAATTTGACTAAATGTGAAGGTTACGCTTCTCAATAAGTGTTACTTTGTAAATGAATGCAAGAAACGATATTATATTTGGAATGATGGATTATTCAATTCAGCAACTCGATTTATCATTTTATTGTCAATTTATAAAACTAAAATATATAATATAACTAATAATATAAGATGGACGGCATACAGGCAGCTGGTGTATTAAACAGCAACATTTACAATATCAATACAAAAAATACAAAACAACACTACAACATTGTTTACAAAATAAAATGTAAAACACAATTTGTTCACATTGAGATAACATCACATAACATTTACAGTCCAAGTTATATTCAACCAGAGATTCATATTTTTACAGTAAAATGAAGTGTAAAGATGTTGATTACACAACATATTTTGCTAAGTTGAAATTCTATTATAAGTAATAAATACATATGTCAATTTCATACTGCCTCCAGTTATAATACAAAAAACGAATTCACTTCACAGTTTAATATAATCTTATATATATTAATATATTAATATTGTATATATTATATATTATATATATTAGGAAATCAATCAAGGAATAAAAATTTAAAAGTGAAAACTGAGTCAATTCCAGGTTGAAAGTAAAATAAAACGTGGTAAAAGTAAAATGAGTTGGCAATATTGTAAAGTGTACTTAACTCATACAAAATAATCACTTGTCTTTAATAGAATAGAATAGAGTAACAAACTAATATATTTGAATATTTTCATTTTGTGATACTCACAAAGATTTTTGCATGATACAACTTTTAGGTTACCTGTACACCCTGTACCGTTATTATGACAATTTTCTTGCTGATCTTATATCATGAGCTTTGACTGCATTATTCATTTTATTTGGAATTGACTTGTTTCCTAAAAATAATGATAAAAAACACGAGAAATATAAATCTGTTAAAAAATTATTAAAGCCAAAGCAGTACAAATAACATATATAAAAATAATTTAGAATTGTGATAAGATGTTACAACTTACAACAAGGATTATTGGTTAATAAAAAGGACGGAAAGTCTGTGCAATGCACTTTTGTAACACCCTGTAAATAATTTTAAGTACGTTTGGATTGGCATGATGCGATGAAAACAGTTTGAAAAAGAATATCTGGTTCAGGCACTTTGGATATTTGCTATGGTATACATAATTATGTAAATTATATTATGCTATCTATATATTATGTTAAACTCTCAACTACTGCTATTTCTTTATAAAAATATTTATATTGGTCTCCTATGTAAACAAATGCTTTTATACTACATTAAAAGCTAGAATATAAATATATACTGTGCAAACACCATTAAGTGCAGGAATGAACATCTGAATCATTCACAAATTTATAAATCTGTCCTTTTTAATAGTTACAAGCATTGATAAAATTAGAAACATTTGACAAACATATTTTTGCTTAGAATTTAGCAAATTGAGTTTGAAAAAGAGAATATGGAAGACCAGAACCTGAAAGAGTTCCGTTTTTACTATTTTTTAAACTTTAATGTAACTATTGACAGTAATATTAGCTGCTTTTACGTTATACAAATAACGCGCTAAGCTGTATTTAAGTAACGTCCCCTATTTCTTGCAATGACATAAATATGGATGTTATTTTGAAAATTTTCAACTTGATCATAAGGCATATGCGATACAGGAAATGAATCATTGCACTATATAGATTTCACAACACAAATTTTGTGGAAAAATACAAACCAAACCTCTATTTATTTATTTGTTCTAATTTGCCATGCACTGTCTGCTTTATGCTAACAGACATATATAAATTTTATTTATTATTCATACAAATTAATTAATTTGTTCTACTTAACACATAACAAACAAGGTCTCTACAATAAGAAAATATCCTCTAAATATTTTTAGTTAAGTAATTGATTTTGACTTTGAATAAAGTTATCATTTACACAGCCCAAGAAGGTAAAAAAACACTGATATAACGCATGAAGTAAGTTTTAAAACTCTTATCAAAAGCCATTAAGTTACAACAAAGATCTTGTGAGGATCCAATACATTTTATAAAACGCAAAAGTTATAAAATCAATTATAAAAAATATCAAAACTTAATATTATTTAAATTCTTTGAAAAATCTACTAAAAACAATATTTTTCTGATGCTTGTAGAACAATGTGGATGTAGATAGATTTTTTTACCAAAATTTAATTTGTTATATACGTGAATATTCAGATAATATACAAAGCAGTCTTTAAATACAAGTATTACCTGTTTGTCGTTGTCATATAAAATCAATAAACGATATACATCTACAAACATTCACTCAAGAATCAGAATGTGTTTCTTTGTATGTCAACTTAAAAACAAAAATTTGTGTTCATGTCACTCAAAAGTAGTTTGTGGTATAATGTAAAAAAAAATAGTCCACAATGATATGCTTATGAGAATTTAACAAAAATGAGATTTATCGTAATGATACATACAAATGCTTTTGGAATGTGCGATTGTGAGTCGGGAATTAGGTGAGGAAAGTAGTTATAAGGAGACCGAAGGCCACACAGTTAAGAACGAGACCAACAGCCGAGACTCTTCTGTTACCAGTGCTGCGAAAAGAGGACGGTTCACCTAGAACAAGCAGGTTAAAAATAAACTGTCTGTCTTAGGCATTTGAACGGTTTAATTCAGACTTTGAGAGAAAACACAGAAGAGAACAATTCTAGTAATGGTCAAAACCGGAAATTACTAATCTCAAACAAAACCAAAACTTAAAAAAACCCAAAAACTTCTTAGTTGCCAAAGATCATGAAATATAGGTAATAATAAAACGTCTAAACAACACACACTAAAATAAAATTAACTCTTCATATAACATAAACATGAATACTGTATTGGATTTGTTTTTAATAAATATAAATATAAGACTTTATTGTCAATTGTGACAGTATTAGTATTTAAGATACCTTTCCAGTTCAGATTATAATTTACTTGTTTCATTAATGTTAATGGTGATCTGTTTGCTCGATTGTTGTCAAAACTGCCAAAATCTTCCCGGACGATAGTCAATATTGTAGGACAGATTCAACTACATAAATGAGATCAACAACAAACAGAAAAACCATCAAAATTTTGAATCTGAGGCATTGCATTGAAAACATGTAACATGTCGGTCCTCGATCACTCTAATTTAAAGGCTAGGCTTTGCCCGGCTCGAAAATTGAGCCACTCAAACACTTCTACATCACAAATCCCTCAACAAAATGCATAGATGCTAAAAACAGCTATCACAAATAACAAATGTTGAGATTAAAACTCACTACTTACCCATTTGGAAGACAAAGGTAGGAGAGGACATTCTTCCGTCCCCTCCGTTGGAGAAAGCTAGCACTCGAAGGTTGTAAGTTTTCCCAGGTGAGAGATCGGTGACGATGGCTTCAAGATCATTTCCAACTGAGACGAAAGTGTCATTAGCAGTGCTCATGTCTTGGTCTACCTCCCAAACTCGAACCTGTTTGAAAAAGTCATGTTGAAAAGCACTTGATACTACAAAAGACATAATCAAGGAGTTCGCAAAAAGAAGATATGTCAACTGCGACGAAGCAATATCAGCTACAAATACACTGATTTGATGGTGTAAAGAGAGTAATCAGGGTTCTGATACTTTCCTAATACCACAAATTTTGGACACTCATCAGTCGACTATAATAGAAATTCAGAAACCACTAGTTTTTTTACAGTTGATTACAAGGTAATTTTGTTCAAAATTGAGAGGGTATGCGCAAAAGTCTCTGGAACAACAATGGGTGGAGATTAGAGAAACAGTAAGTTTCTGTCGCTACATTAGTCAGGTTGGGTAGCAGGAAAATACTTCAGTTCTGGCAGACAGGCTGCAATTTTAGGTGGTTATAGTATACAAGTTTCTGAACCTAAAACCGCCCAGACCCCAATTTTTAAGGACCTCGGTCGTCCGTAATGCCGTCATCAAAATGGCGGCCGTAAGAGGATGTTGAGTCCCCATGAATTGGCTATAACGACCGAATGCCTGAACCGATTTTCATGAAATTTGGCACACAAGTGCTTGAATACATTATCTCGGCCTGGGTTGAAAATGGTCAAGTTTCATCAAGTCATTTCAAAATGGCGTCCATTCAAACTAAAAAAAATTATGAGGAAAATAATTGTGAATTGTTTTATACAGGGTGAGTTTTAAATGAGTTCCCCTCCCTACTTTTTTATACATTTCTTAAGACATCAACTCCGAACCACGTCAGATAATTGTAGAGTAGCAATTACTTCATTTCGACTAGTTTTTATTTTATCAGTTTTTTGTTATCTTTCTTGATAAAATATAACAATTATTTTGATTTAAAATGTCAATATTTCAAAAACCAAACATGACAATGAAAAACGGATTGGGTCATTGAATTCAACATAAAAAAGTAGTTCAAAATGATGGGTCACAACACCCCCTTCATATTTAAAATAATTTATCACATTTCAAAATGGCGGATCCAAGATGGCGGCTGAAAAAAATACATCCGTCATAACCGAGTGAAAATAGGTCAACAATAAATGGTGGTGTCCACTTATCTTTATCTAGCACTATTTTGAGATTATGGCCTTAGTTTGTAAATGCACAATGTTATAATGGACTAAAAATAAAGTTATAAAAAGTTCTCATAACTTTAGAATGGATCAACATTTTTTTAAACGGATTGCAGCATCGTATTCAGCGTAAAGGTTTTGTTTGAAACGGTGGGTCACAACCCTATCTTTACATTTGAAAAAATATTTTTGTATCCAAAATGGCGGATCCACGATGGCGGCCAAAAATGTAAACCCAGTCAAATGAAGTACTTGCTACTCTACAATGATCTGACATGGTTCAAAGTTGATATCTTAAGAAATGTATAAAAAAGTAGGGGGGGAACTCTTTTAAAACTCACCCTGTATAAAACAATTCACAATTATTTTCCTCATATTTTTTTTTAGTTTTGAATAGCCGCCATTTTGAAATGACTTGATGAAACTTGACCATTTTCAACCCAGGCCGAGATAATGTATTCAAGCACTTGTGTGCCAAATTTCATGAAAATCGGTTCAGGCATTCGGTCGTTATAGCCAATTCATGGGGACCCAGCATCCTCTTACGGCCGCCATTTTGATGACGTCATTACGGACGACCGAGGTCCTTAAAAATTGGGGTCTGGGCGGTTTTAGGTTCAGAAACTTGTATACTATGACCACCTAAAATTGCAGCCTGTCTGCCAGAACTGAAATATTCTGCCACTATATGCAGCTATACGACCCCACTACATAGCTAAGCGCACTTAATGATATTCTTTGGACATTGGAAATTCAGTGCTGCCTGTATCATTGACCTGTGTAAAGTTATTATTGGCCTATTAGTTTTGCTAACAATATTTCTTTGCAAAGGCAAGTTCAAGTAAACAACATGGGATCATAAGCTTGGTGACAGCACATCCTAGACCTCCACTTGAACTGACGAAACAGTTGTATAAGTTTGAGTTTATTGATACTGTAAGTTTATCAACTTTCTTAAGTTGAAGATACCTTGATTCAGATTCATCTGTAAATTACTATTTTGGGAATCTATAAATCTATAGTTTTAGTAATACAAACCTTGTAACCAATCAGAGGTTCTTCCTCAGCACTGGGGGTGACGTATCGCCAAACAACACGGACAGACGTTGGGTTCAAAGCCTTCAAATGCACTGAAGAAGGAGGCTTCTGAGGAGCTTTCCTGTATGTCTTTTCTGAAAGGGAAATTAGTATTTAGAACATTGTTAGTGGAAAGAATCTACTAATGTTTATAATTAAATAGAAATCCTTTATACATATATTTATATCTTTTATGTTCCACCTTCACATCCTAGGACCCTAAGCTCTAGCCATAACTGTTTTCACATTACTTCAGGATAGGCCCAGAGGTTCGTGGAATTATCTCTTAGATATATTGGTGATGTGATGGCGGGATTCAAGCCCGGGACCTCGGAGGCCAAAGCCTCACCCTCTACTAATAGACAAGCTCGCTCCCTTACATTAGGATATTGGTTAAAAATAATATATTTATTGTATATTTATCTTTATTTTGTAATGGTTAATTCAAATTTGATACTTTTGCTTTCCTCATTTGATTTTTTTAAATATAATATATATAATAGGGATGGACAGGTCTCGAAATTTCAAGATTTTTGAGACATTATAAAAAAAAAACCGTTGAAAACACCCGCAGAAAGCCAATGAAACACCCACAATTCAGGAGTGCGGTGTTGTGTTTCCTTTGCGAAGGCGTTCTAATTTTAATTAATTCTTTACTTGTAAATATTGCTAAAATTGTTTTATAATTTTTTGTTTTGACATCGCAAATGATTAAAAGTTTATTTAAGTGTAAGCAGTGTGAGACATGTTTTACTACTGTTAACATAGCCAAAACAAGTCGCTCCAAAATCATTCTAAAATAAATATCACAAGACTGAAAAATTGTTACTTGATACTGAACTAGTTAAGACTGATGTTTTAGACAGATAAATTTTATATTTTTCAAAGTTGAACTATATCCTATCCTAACTGATATTACCATGTTTCCTATGTGTAAGAGTTTTTTTTTTTTATTAAGGTAGGCTTAATTAGTACGTTCAGTGCTGCAGGCATTCCAACAGGCGTGATCGCCAATGGCAGCAAGGCCCGGGCAAAGCCCCGGCGCTGCACCATTGTTGCAAACGCAATTGGCATTCAAATATTTCAATCTGACGAATAACAAAAGAGCAGCGGTGATTGTACTACGTTACCCCGAGATTGTACGTAGTTCTCTAAAACACCCAAAGGTAGCAGCACTGCCTGGATCAGTAGTCAGTGGCCTTGTAATATGGCCTAAAGTGAGAAAATCCCCGAAACCGGGACAAAAGCATTGTCAGACGGGATTTTACGGGAAATTTAAGTACCAATCTACACCAAAATAAAGCTCACATTCTAAGCTATAGGCTAGCAACGGTTTAACATTCCCCGGCAATGGCTGAGCTCATACTGAACTATTGTAGTGGGGATTGTGCAACTACATCAATTGGTGTAGGCCGGTTGGAGCGCTCGTGCGACTACATCAATTGATGTAGTCAGCACTGAACGTGTTAATATTTTTTTTTCAGGCGGTCGACACACGGGAAGACTGAAACCCAACTAAAGTTAAACCAACTGTTTTGTGACGCGATTACAATTGCACTTGCGTTGGTTAAATCCGCACACGGGCGCAACTGAAATAATTGTAGTTGAGTAGAGACAGTGAATGAGTTCTTTGTTATAACAAAACTGTGTACTTTGTATGGTGTTTGAAATGAGTAGTAGTGATGAAAAAGCCCTGGTGTTTTATAGACAATCAAGAAAGCGTAGTAGAGGATGTAGAAAGTATTGAGTACATCCTTATGTTAAAACAAATATTCTATGTAGGCTCTTTGTAGCTGCTGCTGCATTACAAGAAACAGACACAAAATTTCAGTCTATGTACAGGATGTCAAAAAGTCCTTACGAAGAGTTATCGCAGTTGGTATATGCCTGCTCCTTGAAAAGCGCAATACTAATATGCAAAAAGCTGTTCAAACCAGGCGACTGAAATCACCTTCCAACCGGCAGGTCCAGTTGCTTAACGACTGATCGCCAACTGGTCCTCAACTGGTCGCATCGCAATCGCACCGTGTGCACTGTCCAACCTAACTACATTGGTCGGGACACAGGCGACTAGTTTGTCCAACTAGTTGCCGATTTTAGTTGAAAAACAGTCTTCCCGTGTGTCGACGGCCGTATACTGATGTTTTTATTGATGTTTTCCCTAATTATTATTATTATTATTAAAATTTGTTTACTTAACCAGTCATCTGTCATAAATCAGTAGGTATTTAACAATGTAACAAAATCAGGTTAAAATTTTGAACATGCATTTCCCATTATGTATGAGAAAAGAAATCCTATCTCAAAATTTTATGAGAAACAAAAAATACCGCCTCGTCTCGAACTGAAAATCCAATCTCGTCCATCCCTAGTATAATTGATCTTCGGCACAAAGTGAAAAAATAGCTTATTCCCTGTATGGGAAATTTGTTAAAACTAGATTTAAAAATGTCGTTACACCAGTATCCAATAAGCGAATTGGGTCTGATGATGATTGGAGTGTCCAATTGAAATCGATTAGCACTTACCATCTTTTATATGTATTTACCGTCTTGTGAGTCAACAATACATGTGTAAATATTTTATTACAGGTGTTATTAGACATATTTTTATGTTCTTTCAGTAAATCTTTTATTGACTAACCAATAGCAAAAACCTACCCAAAAACCGTTCACTTTCAGGTCCTTCTCCTGCAGCATTGTAAGCCATTACTTTCACGTAGTAATATGTATTGGGCTGTAGACCAATAAGCAGGGACCAAGGACGGGTGGTTCGGCTGAGAAAATATACAGCATCTTCCTCTCTGTTCTTCTCGTTCCAGTACTTCAACTGAAAACGAATCCCAGAATGTTAAGACTTTTAACTTAAAAGAAAATAAGACATATTACAGGTAATTTTAAAATTAAATTAAAAATAAAAAGACATACATTTTGAAATAATTGACCAATTTTATAAGAAATATCTTGATTTATTTTTCCAGTATCAACCATTATAAGTTTCTGTAAAATCTCATTATCAATTTTTTTTCTCCCACAGAAGGAAATGATATAACCTAGGCTCAAATGGCTTTTCTATTAGATATTTTCCTGAACTGATGGTTTAAACTCGCCTCACTATGAAGGTTTAAAATAATAAATGAAAGTTCCTCACAGAATATGACTAATCCATCAGTTGATGACCCACTTTCCAATTGTAGTAATTGCAGAATTTAAATTATTTTAACAAAAATTTGAAACCTAAATCACGATACTTTATTTACTTATCCTTTTTTAGTCATGAAAAATAAACATTGTGCAGTTGAAATACTACATACAGTATTTTTTTGTTTTTGTTTTAACTCACCACAGAATTTTGTTTACATCGCTTTTTTCGTTCAGGAATAAATAATGCAATGGAAGGTTTACCTGTATAGTTTGCGTTTAGTGTTCATGCAAATGCTACACACAAATTATAAACGATGTAATTATCACACGGAAATTAAATATTCTCAATACTGAGAACATTCAATTTTTTCCTATGTAAAACCTTGGTTGATGGTTTTTAGATGTTTACTCAAATAAACCACAAGTACACAACATGAGGCTGATTAAATTTTATATTCTGATATTTTAGCTCACAAACTTACCCTGTGACCAATGAGGCGACCACGGATCTTCTCCCTTGTCTGTTCGATGGGCACCCAACTGACATTGAGGGATGTGGAGTTGAACCCTCTAGCAGACACCTGTTGAGGAGCCACTTGAGGCATGTCCTCAGCACTGTAGATGGTCACTATCTCGCTCTCAGGCCCAGCACCAATCGAGTTGAACGGCTGAACAAAATGCATCAACAAATGTCATAATTCTGTCCATACATTATTATTTTTTTAATTACAAAATAGCAGATTAAGGCTGAACTAGGGCAAAACACAGAGAAGTTAGGTACAGAGAAACATTTGGTGGCACACATAAGTGGTGTCTAGCACTAAAAAAATTAGTTGCTAGTGTCCATGGCAAAGTCCAACCCCACCCCCCTCGCCATTAAGTAATAAAATGCTCACAGTGGAAGAAGACACTGTGCCCTGTGCGACAAGAATTTCCGCAAAGTCCTCATCGCTCAGACTCTTCTTCGCTAGCCAGAAGTATATTTCCAGCATAACAAATTAGAGCTGAAGGCGCACGGTTGTCCCATGAGCAGGTTTCTTCTGTACCTTACTTCTATGTGGTCAAAATAAAAAGCTCCCCTTCCATTGTTATCTATCAGCTGTGCTTTTGTTTGGACTCTTATCATTTCCTATCACATTTATTGCGGAGTTGTAAATTAAATTGCACTGAAAAGATAACTTGTCATTGAGTAGATGTGGTGGACTATTGTTTGACGAGCGGTAGATTTAAAATTATTCAATTGTATCCATAAAATTTTCTTTTTTAAAATAGAGTTTGCTTATGATAAATCTTCACACCGTCCAGGTTAAAGAGGATTAATTACGCTTAAATGTCCACTTAGACTTGACAATGAAAGCATAAAGTCTTCAAAACCATGGTAGTCTAACTACAAGAACAGGACCACTTGGCAATACATAAGTTATATAACCTACCTAATAATCATAGTGATCCAGAGGCTTCGCCATAATTAATTTAACATGTAAATAATCATAGCTCACCTGCACTTTCACATCATATTTAGTGTAGTAAAACTCTTGCTGGATTCTAACAACAGTTACACCAATGTTTCCATGATCTTTAAGATCCATGCTCTGGAATTCGGAGTCTTTTCCGTGCCTTCTCCAGAAGACCTTGTAGTAAATTCCTGGGCCGGCTTGATCTTGAGATGGTAGAGGCTAAAAGATGTTTCAAAAATTAAAGATTAAAATAACTTTTTTGTAATGTTTTATAAGTAATTGGATGAATTTAAGCTGACAAATTATCTTGTAAAGTACATTACAGGGAACTCCTTATAACTACCGCACCCCAACCAAATCCTCGTTTAACCGAAACTATAATAAAAATTCTAATCAAGTGTAAAACCGACTAGGCGACAGGATTCACCACCATGTCGCAGGCAGTTGTCCAGCGGAATGTAATGGAGCAAAGGACAAGACAGATATTATGTTGCGATAAGATAACGTTCAGAAAACAATTAACAATTATTTTAAGAAATATATTTTGTTTATACAGATGAAGAATTTAAGATAACAGTAATTAAAATAAAAACTTAAACAACTACCGCTGTAGATTTTTTTGAACAGAGAGTAAATAAAAATACTCATTAATCTCATAGCATTTCAAACACATATTCACAGCTCAACAAAATATGTCAAATTAGGACATGTTTCTGGGTTTAAACACCATCAGCTTCAGGTACTTGTAAAGTTGCTCAGTTGTAAACATCGTCAACAGGTAGACACAGTACGGTATGAACAAAAATTACGATAAATACAAAAAGAAACATTAAATTTTTTTTTTAAACATGCCTGTTATAACCAAAGTTGACCAACCGCACAGGTAGCAAGGGGCAGACTGGATGTCCAACAGCTCAGGGGTTACAGACATATGGATTTTAATAACATATTTATTCATACGGTTTACTTACAAGATGGTAAATGTACAAAAAAAATATGGAAAGTGGTAATAACTGGTATTTTGATTGGACACCCCAATCATAATTAGACCTAGTAGACAGATAGGGTTGACGCATCTTATAAGTTACAGTATAAGTTTTAATAATTGTTATAAGAAGTACTGTAGTTATATTTACTTTCTGCAAATTAATAACAAGTAAGGAAGGCTACTATGCTGATTAAGAAGCTTTGAACTGAATTTCAACCATTGAGTAACTCAAACAATAGGTAGTCAAAATGGCCTCGCCCCATATATTTCGGTTAATTAGGGTTTTACCAAAGATCCAAATTACCCAATTAGGTAAATCCTTCAGCAAAACATTTTTTGACAATATCTGTAAAAAACCTCATGTGTTAGAGTTGTTAAGGTTGAAACCATATTGAAAACATAATATCATCCATGATGTACGTTTATTTAATTTAGTTTTAAATTACAGGGTGGCTGAAAAGTAACTTACACCCCCCCCCCCCCCTTAACTTTTGAACCATTTGAGATATTTGAAATCTGTTTGCGGTAACCTTCTTAGATATGAGAGGCTACAATAATTATGGTCAATTTTGAAAACTTTGCCCTTAGGGGTAGCGGGGGTAGGGGGTAGGCTAGCTCAAAATTTTCAAATGGCAAGTATAGTCGAGTTTGGTATCACCTTAGAGGTCTTGACGAAACATAACAATTGACATAAAGAAAATAGATACAGTTGAACCTCTATAAGACGAATTTCAAGGGGTATGGGAAAAATTCGTACTATAGAGGTATTCTTAATGAAGAGGGTCGTTTTATCGAGGTTTAATGCTGCTGTTATTCTTCTTATAGAGGCTTCTCCTCGCTCCAAGGTTTCTCCAAACAATGACTGAGGAAGGAGGAGGGATGGGTGAGGGTTTCATGTTGAGACAAGCTTCTGTTTGTTTTTAAAAATACGTACTATGGAGGTTAAGATTATGACAAATTCGTCTTATAGAGGTCACGGTCGTCTTGTAGAGGTTTTGTCCTAAGAATATTCGTTGTATAGAGGTTAATCAGTCCTAGCCCATGTCACAAACAAATTCGTCTTATGGAGGTTTTTAACTTAATTACTACGTTGTATAGAGGTGTTTTTAGCATTGACTTATATGAAAGTGTCAAGGGGATTTAAAAAAATTCGTCTTATTGAGGAATTTATATTATCGAGGTTCGTACAAACGAGGTTCAACTGTACCGGTCTATAAATAACAAAATGGCAGCTAAAAATGATTACGACAATGGTTATTAAAAGTTGTTTTAAACTGTCATTTTGTTATTAATGATCCGATTTCTATTTTCTTTATGTTAATTGTTATGTTTTGTCAAGACCTGTAAAATGATATCAAACTCGACTATACTTGCTATTTGAAAATTTTGAGCTATTCCTACCCCCGCTACCACTAAGGGCAAAATTTTCAAAACTGACCATGTAATTATTGTAGCCCTTCATATCCAAACAAGTTTCTGCAAATCGATTTCAAATATCTCAAATAGTTAAAATGTTAAAGGGGGTGGACGTTAATTTTAAGCCACCCTCACGGTTATTTGGATTTGAAACTTTTTAGGGCGCCATTCTGTTATTAGTGGGCCGATTTTGGTTTTCTTTATGTCAATTGTTATGTTTCGTCAAGACCTGTAAAATTATACCAAACTCGACTATACTTGTCGTTTGAAAATTTTGAGTTACCCCCTACCACCACTACCCTAAGGGCGAAATTTTCAAAATTTACCATAATTATTGTAGCCCCTCATATTTAAGAAGGTTGCCGCAAACAGATTTGAAATACAGTACACTCCCTCTTATCCGGACTCCTCGGGACCGAGGCCAGTCCGGATAACGGGGTTTCCGGTTAAACCGACGTCCCCAAAAACTTGTTAAAACAGACCGTTTACTGTGATATTCAACTTAAATTTAGGAGAGCATTGTATTTATTCATGTGATAACTGGTCTCAAATCTTTCCCACGAGAACAGTTGTTTCAGTACCGCCCACTTCCTGCCGATCTAGTCCGGTTAAACCAATGTGCTGATAAAAATTGTCCGGTTAAAGAGATGTCATTTCCGCCGAGTGTAGTCCGGTTAAACAGATGTCTGGTTAAAAGGTGTCCGGATAAGAGGGTGTCTACTGTATCTCAAATGGTGAAAAGGTTAAGGGGGGGTGTTAGTTACTTTTCAGCCACCCTGTATATTGATATTGTTTGGCAGTAAAACTTGGATGGCTAGGGCAGATTATGGGATTGGTGGTAGTCTGACAGTCAATTTGAATTTTAAAAATACACTTTGGTGACAAAGTACAAATAATAGTTTATCTACAGTTGTTGTTTGTTATGTGCCAACTAAAACATGATGAATAAAAACTTGTACAACTTTGAGGTTAGTATATTTATATTTTATGACTAAACTACATTGTTAAGACAAAGGGGTAAATGGCATTGCCAACTCCAAAACTCGGCACGTATGAAAAATACTCTTTGTTTATATATTATTATTAATTTCCATTAATAATTACTCGGAATTTAAACTCGGTTTTTGTTGTTTTCTATAACTGTCCCAAAGATCAAAAGCTGTTCCTTTGGCTGATAAGAAAAGCGAGCAAGTCTTTCTGAAGGCAAATGGTTAAAACAAATCACGTTGTATCACAAAAATGTTCTATCAGCACAATTTTTCAAAGCTTGTCTTTACTACTCAAATGTACTCATGATAAATGCAAAGTTAAAGTTAGTTACGTACCGTCCAGGATATAGTCAAGTCTCCGATCTTGCCACCCCCTCCGCCAACGTTGGAAGGAGCTCTGCGCGGCTTGTCTGGGGGTGTGTTGTACATGGGGGATGGTGACGAGGGTTGTCCGTACCCCAGTACATTGGCTGCTAGAACTCTAAACTCATACGCAGACCATGGAGACAGCACATCCTCTAGCCTAGCTTCCTTGCGTCCGGTGTATCTGTCTACTTCCTTAGCAATCACATCTGTAAACAAATATTAATGGTGAGACTATTAATTTGTTTCAAAATCTATTTAATTTTTATCATCTTGCCATGTTAGTATTGTTTCTATGTACTCGTTCTATTTTGACTTGTATTTTGCCCATATTTTTTGCCTTATGTTTCACCATGTACCTGCCATTAGAAGACTAGATTTTAGAGTTGAACCAGGCCAGCTTGTTGTAACTTATTTGATAAAATTATCTTTGTTACTATTTTATGTGAAATATTTAATTACATTTTAATATTATGTAGCAAATGATGAACCCTTTTGCACTGTAAAATGTTTAAAGGGTAATAAAGTTTCTTATTCTTATTCTTATTGATTTACTTACAAATTAGGATGGGATTTAAAAAAACAGCAAATAGATGTATTAGGAATACAGTTTTACTAATCTGCACTGAAACAGTAAGATTATAGATTTTGCAGTTAACTTCCTTAAATACTTCTAAACTGTTAAGATATTTTCAGCATTGAACACTTGGCTAAAAATTGGAGGTTTGGCCCTCGGCCTGAAAATGAACTGTTATTTTTTTATCGTAAATTCACATAACTACAAAAATAGATTGTTTAAATTTAAAGATCTGCTAGCGAGTTAATTTTGGAGCTGAGCTAAGACTAGAGTAAAACCTCAAGCGTCCAAGCAAAAAGTCATAAAATAAAGTTGAGCTTCTTCCATTAATGGAAAATTATTGAAATGAAATGAATTGAAATTAAATGAAAATCCTTATTTCCTTTCATTTATTGCAGATGATTCTTTATTCTTTACTTTCTTTTCAGATGGTTTTTGCAATCGCAAAAAGAATCTGCGAATATTGCAGTCAGTCAAAGATTTCATATGTCGCCACGATGATTTCTTTGCAGAGGCACAGAATAATCAAAATTTATTTGCTATCAAAGGGAAACAATGATAAAGTCTGCATGATCGTACACAGGTAGTTACGATTTTGCCGTTTGTGGAAGATGATCATGGTAGTAATGATAAAATGTGCTTAATACCATTTGTGCCTGTCAACAAAGGGTGTTAACATAAGGAACTTGATTAGGAAAATCTGTTTTCAGTTGCTCCATTGCTAAAAGAATTATTTATAAGGCTGTTTAATGTAAAGGCAATTACAGCTGTCCCTCGATAATCGGACAAGGTGAGGGACTGGATTGGTGTCAGAGTTGGATCACCAAATATGTTTGTTAATCAAGATTGGTTTTTCTAATCAAGATAAAATATCCCCGTTATGATCTAATGCAGCATTTGGGACAGTATGTAAACACGATGGAGTAAACAAAAAGTACTAAACACATCTAGTTACCAGTTTGTTAAAACTAGGCTACACCATTACGGCATAGAAGATTACGGAGAGAGGGACGTTCATGTTGCTACAGGCTGGTTTTGTTCCTGCCGATAAGCCTGCCAGCAGGACGTCAAACTACCAAGTATGTCAGATTACAATGTATCGGATTATTGAGTGAAAACTGTAAAACCCCCTCCTAATAGCTGTACCCTGATATTTATTTTGAACTAAAATACCACTTTTTTAATCACAACCTCAAAATACTACTATAATACTGGGTGTTTATAAATGAATATCGGTGTTTTAACACTTCAAAACTTTTATACTATTAAGCTTACCGCTATAAATAATACATCAAATGAAAAAGCAAGTCTAAGAGTTTATGCCTTCCAACAACAAATTATTTAACAAAATCAATCCAGTAGAACTGTAGATTTAACTGTACAAAATTAAAAAGAAATCTCCAAACTTTTTTCACCACTATAAATTGGGAGGTCGCTCAACATTTTTGCAAATAACTTTTAAATGGTGAGGAAATCAACGAAAGTGGAAGGTATCAATTCTACCGGATTGATTTTGTTAAATAATTTGTCTTTGGAAGGCATAAACTCTTTGAGTTGCCGGTATAAAAGAATAAAACTTACTCTCTGATATGTTAACCCAGGTATTATTCCAGCTGGTGCGAGCAGAGATGATGTATCTGTTGATAGGTCGTCCGTTGGTGGCTCCGTCAGTCCACTGGACGGTGGCCGAGTAACGAGAGATCTCCACCACTGATACACCACCTGATAAAACCAGACCCATCAGATCACCATGCAATTTACCTTACTTTAACAGGTATTAATGTGACAAGTGTATAAATCTAGTTAAAAACCTGTAAAATAAAACGATAATATTGATACGTGTGTCAGCATTAGGGATGGGCCGATTCCAAAAGAAGACTCTCGATTCCACTGATTCTCGGCTTTGGAGTCAAAATCAAGAATCGACTTGTCTGCGAAGATCTGCACGATCGTAAAATTACTGCTAATGCCGCGATTGTGCAAGACTACGATGACGTTTCTGTGACTGTGGGAGACGAGGATGATGTCTACACGACCACGGAAGACGATGATGATGTTCCGTTACCGCGGGGGTTATTCAGTGTTTTACCGTGACCACAGCAGACACAGTTTTGAAAAAGTTTATCTTTTTAAATACCTAGGAGTTTAAATATCAAGCAATACAACCACAAAAACATACCTGGTGGACCAGGGGGGCCTTCTACGAACACTTGCGCCTTTGATGAGATTCGTCCTACTGCACTCTTGACAATACACTCATATTCTCCACCCTCAGCTAGCGTAATGTTGTAAATCACCAACGTGCCACCTTCTATTTTCTGTAACAATCAATCAAGTATATTAATCAATAATATTTTTGTAAATTGTGTTTTAATTTACAATAAGTTACCGTACCAATATCGTGATTATTTTACAAAAGTTATTCAAACCAAAATTTTAGATTGCTTTTCATTTTAAAATGCCGCATTTGATCATTATATTTCAAACTATTATGTGTGACCATTAAATATAGAACCAATTGATTAATAGTCTTAGCTGTTATTTCAAATTTCATTTGTAGTCAAAATGAGACGTAGGAATTGGCTAAATCAGGAACTTGCTAACTCGGTCGTGTGTCGGAACTGGCTAACTCTGGAACTGGCTAACCGTCTCAGTCAGGAATTGGCTAACTTCGGAACCCGCTAACTCGATTTTGTCTCGCGGCGGAATTTGCTAACTCTGGAAGTCGCTAACCCGGCCGCGCCCACTGCTCGGAGCGTTGCCAACCTTGTACGACAAAGTAATTGTACACTGCCGTATTTCAAAATGTCAGTGTCTATAAAGATACAGTAAATGTTATTGTTTTTTGTTATCAATTCCACTTTTAACAGATAACTAGCCCAAAGTAATTAAAAGACATTTAAAAAATCATGAAAAAGTGATTTTTTTATTAAATTGTACAATGGCCAGTTAAATGTGTATGATTTCGATCTTAAATATAAATGCCATCAGTATAAAGGAAAATAATAGAATATGAAAAATATTCAAAATTTAGTTTAATTGGTACTAAATAATTAAACCTCTACGAAATTAAGCTAAAATACACGCAAGTTCTTAAACACGGAAAACAGATTTAATTGTAATGTCGTAATAAACCAAAACCATTAATTATAGTCATCAACCATCGTAACTTTCATAACTAATTCATAGATTTTAAATTAAATGTTCGTCGTTGAACCGTCCAACTTACGTGTACAAATATGATGACATAGACTAAGTTTTTATCTAGGCCTAATAGTTTGAACCAAAGCATTGTAGGCCTACTAGTAAATAGTTGCCTAATTCTAAAATGTGTTGAATTTTTTTGCAATTACATGTTTTAAAACAGTTTTTAGATTGTACACCTAAGCACCACTAGTAAAAAATATGAGAAGATATAATATTCATTTAATAAAACGTGACAGGGTTATTTTAATTCACGATTCTTAATAAACAAATTGACGGATTTTCCTGATTTGAGTGTTGGGGTTTCCTTTATATTGCTTTCACAATCGATATAAACTATACCAAGCCATGCTCGGTTCACCGTTCCCCAGTACTGAGCTACACAATAGACAATAGCATAGACTAACCAACACAAGTATGTTTTATCTATGACAAGCTTTGTTTTTGGATAAGATCAAGTAATTTTAGCTATGGCCACCATTCATAAGAATTGTATCAAACAAAAGAACGCTTGGGTCCATTTAGAACCAGCCTGGAGAAAAACTCCAGACTTTTAAAAATCAGACCTACTTAAAGACGTAAAATTAATATTAATTCAACAAAATTAAGAGGATGACCCGGGTTCTACACTAATAGCCTACGATAAAAGAAATTTACAAGTTGTATTTATGCATAGACTAACTTTTAATGCAATCCATGAATACGTTAGGCCTACCACTTTATAATGTATTGATAAATATTTATTTAAATTCAATAGCTCTATTTAAAAATACATTACCACTACAATGTAATTCTGTAATGACGTTTAACGTGTAAATTTTATTATGATTTATGATTTAAGGTTACAAGCCCAGTATATAAAATACGAACTCAATAATTTTATTTGCAGAAGTTCAAAAAATTGTATTTATTCGAATAAAAGAAACAAATGGCGGACTACGAAAATAGATATTTCATAACATGTAATAGATCCAAATTAAATGTGCATTTTTATCTTTTTGCATACCAATAAGCTACTATTTAAGTAAGAAACCTACATATAAAACATACTCCCTTATATTAGTACATTTCTCATCCTTATGGATCATCTGAAGACAGTTGTATTGTTAGTTCTGTCCAATGCACTGTCTTAAGAGGTCGTGTTTTGTTTACAATTGTTTCTTGTTTCCAGTAATTTAAAACCTCGTTTAACCAAATAAAACGTTCTAATCACAACTAATATCACGTCCCCTAGTTATATAACCAAACAGTAAAGAACAAATCATGAAGTTAACTATAAAATAATAGAAACACAATTTTGTCGACACTAGCGATCAGTGTCACCGGACATGAACTAGACACGAAAAACGAGCTTCAAAGTTTACAATGGGATGTAAAGTTTACTTGTGTTGGTTAGTCTATGGTAAGACTATAATGCATTTTCTACCCTAATAATCATAAGAATAATGTTAAACATACTTCTAAATATATTTATTTTATCGACTACGTTGCTCTTACTCCTAATTAATCGTAGGATACGACATTATGGTACCGATACGATATAGGTACTACACTTTCGGCAACACTGGCCAAAAATATTCGTGCTTGGCTCCCATTGGACGGCCCGCAAGGCTTCTGATTGGGAGTTAGCGAGTTCCGCCGAGGGACCGAGTTAGCGACTTCCGTACAAGGACGGAATTCGCTAACCCGGCTCTAGAGCGGGTTAGCGGGTTCCGGAGTTAGCCAATTCCGAAACCGAACAAGTTAGCGAGTTCCTCTCATCGACCAAATTTGAAGATAGGGCGTTTAACATGGGGTTAGCGAGTTCCAGAGTTAGCCAATTCCGCGGACCCGTCAAAATAGCCAACACCAACTTGCAAACCTGTTTTGGGTGGGCTTAAAAAGGCAAAGAATTTACACTATCAATTTATGACAAGTGTATTTTGTAGTTTCCTTTCACAAAAAAATATAATCATTTACCCATCAAATTATACAAATATTTTTTTTTTACTCTCTTACTGTCTCTCGCATCAAAGTCCACTAGACTAGCAAGACACAACATTTTGTTATTTAGCAAAAAATGTGTACATTGTCAACATACAATATTTCCTAATAATGTTTAAAAATTTTCACAAACTTATTTGTGTTAAGAGTCATATTACTCACAATATTTGTGTTCTCATATTCACTGTGAGGTATTCTCAGCCCATTGTGAGTCCAGATGTAGGCGATATCTAGGATTTCCTCTGAAGCCGCTTGACACCTTAAGAAAACATCCCTTTGTACAGCTGTGACTATCCTCGGTGTAAGTTGTTCAATAAGCATTGGTCCTCCTGCAAGCAATACGTTGTCATTAACATTTGATCAGCATCAGTGATATATGATACTTCTGAAATTACAAGATCCTCTGCACAATATGCATATTTCTTGGTGAAGGAAGAATGATACCTTGATTTTTATTGTACAGTAGAGCTTCGATTGACAGAGGTAATGTGCATTGAGTGTACCTCAGATAGTAAAATATTTGGAGATCACAAAAGATTGCCACAGTGATGGTTCAGTACTGCTAAATCAGAGCCGAACCTTCATCCTCTTCATTACTATATGTAGACTCTAGCTGTTTCACCACTTGATCACCATTGAACAATGGCGAAGTCACTTCCGGGTATCACAAATAAGTTTATATTTGCAGTGCACATTTTACCTCATAGAGATATGTTTCATAAGATCTTATTTACCTTTTATAGATTTTTTAAAAATATTTATAACCTATGAAACCATTCTGATGTAGAATCTTTTTTTATAAAAGCATTATTTAAATTTAATTTGTGACCTGCAAAAGCTCAATTAAAAGGAAACTTGGTTAGGGAATGTGGTTTGGTGCTCAAATAACTGCATATTTTCAGTAGATTTTTCCAAATGTTTAGATATGTAATATTAAATAACAGTTCAATTATAATACTCACGCAACACAATGACTCTGCCAAAACTCTCGTCTTTGCCATACTGATTCTCTGCAATACAGGTGTAAATGCCATCATCATCTCGAGATACTGGGCTAATTATGAGGTTTCCACTGTCCAAAATTCTACGTCTTCCACCGGAACCTGCAAAAAAATCATGAGAGATATTAAAAGTGGCTGAATAAAATCAAAATTATAGTTTGGCCTTTACTAGAGGTTAGGCTAATCTCCAAAACAGACAATCTTCTCACCTAAGGGGCCAATTATTTTTCAAACTTATCTCAAAAGGGCTTCAAATCATCAAATGAAGACAATTAATAATAAGATATTAAGAAGCAGGCGGGATTTTTACCTGAGATTATAGGACAGAAGTACCGTGCTCTGATTACTATGACCAACAATACATCCAACTCTTCCATTTTAAAAGGTTCTTTCTTCAAACAAAATTAGTAGTTAAGTCAAGTTGTAAATAAAAAATGTGATAGATGTATGACAGTATAGTATTTTTTTCTTGTCGTTCTTGGCGATTTTATTAATTTTGCATGTTAATTGGTAAAGGAAAATTAAGTTCTATTCATTGTCCCTGTACTAAAATTTAATAAATAATGTATTTCCTGTAAAATAATTGACGTAGAGGTTATTCAGTGTTAATTTGATTAACACGTTGACTGCGCGCGCCGACTTTACAGGCGCTCCCCAGTGCCGGGCGAAGCCCCGGCGCGCAACCGAATCAGCGAACGCAATTGGCATTCAAATATTTCAGTCTGACGAATCACAAAAGAGCAGTGGTGACTGTGCTGCGTTACCCCGAGAGTGGATGTAGTTCACTGAAACACCCAAAGGTAGCAGCACTGCATGGATCCGTATCCAGTGTCTTTGTAATGTGGGTTGAAGAGAAAAAATCCCCGAAACCGGGACAAAAGCATTGCCAGACGGGATTTTACGGGAAATTTTAGTACCAACCTACACCAAAGTAAAGCTCGCATTCTAAGCTGGCAGGCTGGCAACGATTATAACGTCTCCGTCTGAGGCTAAGCTCACACTGACTCAATATATTACTGTTGGTCTGGTGCCGACTGTAGTCGGCGCGCGCCACCTGGGAGCGCTGGCGACGCCGACTAAAGTCGGCACGCGCAGTCAACGTGTTAAGAGTGAAAATGTTTAGTTTAGGAATATATACAATTCTAACTCATTTACTCTCACAAAAAAAAAATTTTTCATTGTGTTTTTGGAAGATTCAAAAACTTACCGATTACTAAATTGTCCTTCTTCCACGTGAATTTTGGCCTTGGAGCTGCTTCTGGGCTACAAATAATCGTCACATTACCACCTTCAGCTGCATAAGTTTCAGTTTCCAAAGGCCGCTTTTTGAATGATGGTTTGAGAGCTGGAAAAAATTTCAACCTTAAATAACAATCAAAATGGAATCACACAAGTGCTTAAAACAGCTGTATCTTTCAAAACAAAATTGGTGCTTTTACTCCACACATAAGCACAACCCAAGAAAAGCAACTGGTCTAGACTTATTAAGGTGCAGACTCTTAAAAGACTTTAAAAACCTTCCTATTGTGGTTATCAAACAGTTCAACATATTATTGCTCAACAGTGTCCAGTCCAGGAATACGCATCAACAAATTGTGTAACAGAGATTTTAATGGATTCCTTTACACAGCATGGACAAAGTCTTAGAAGAACCAGGGGTGGGAAGACACTCACTATCATAGTTTAAAGTCTTTCAACAAGTTTTGTTATATGTTGTTTTGATGTTGCCTATTCATCACTTTTCAAAATTTAATTTCAACAATTTCAAGTTACAAAGATACATGATTTTTCTGGGAGAAAAACTGTGCGTAACACTGTTTAGTCATTAGAGTGAACTTTTTGAGATGTGGTTAAATTCTGTGAACTTTTTGAGATGTGGTTAAATTCTGTTGAATAGCTAAGTTTCCTATATGGAAGTAGACACATAGTTAAGAAACCTAAGAAAGGTAAATGGAATTAGTCTTAGAGCTCTGGATACACATATACTATGCATTTTAAACATATAATAGGTAAAACAATGAGCAATTTCGGTTGCACTTTGTCAAAAATCTCATTAGATCAAAACTAAAAAAATCAGAGCTGAGAACAGAGTAAACATTTTAACCCCAAGAAACTGAGTAGTAATGTGATTGATTATACAAGTGACATTGCACAAAGTCAACCATATTCTTGTTAGCAAAATATAATATGTCTAGTAGCCGAATTTTTCAATCCAAATTCTTAAAATATGACCACTTAATGGTACTTTAAATAACATTAGACATGGTGGAAATAACAAGATATTCTAAATCTTATCTAAAATAAAAAAACATTTTTTAATTGAAGAGTATAGACCTAACTATAAGGCAGTAGTAGACATAGAGTTTGCCTTTTAAGGGATACTATGATAGTCACAGAAATACTTACACAAAACCCGAAGCTGTGCAGAAGAGTATCTAGTTTTGAGATCATTTTTGGCTCGGCACTGGTACATAGCCTGGTCTCGCTCAGGATCCAAGTACCGTATAGTAAGTACGTTGTCTTGTATTACATAACGATCACGATCCTCTGTTGGAAGTTTCTCCACCTCCAGAAGTTCACCATCTCGTAGCCAGCCGTATGTCACATCTGGGATCCCAAAAGCCTCACAAGTCCAAGTTAGTTCTCCTTTGTTGTCCACGTGTTTGTCAGTAAGAGGTATTGTAAAGTTAGGTTCCGCTGTAAAAGTATTAAAAAATCGACTTTAAAATCACACAAACTTCCTTATGTTGCAATTTTTATCAAGGTTGATGCTATAAAAAGTTGTATCCAACTCGAAGGTTCAAAGGAGTTTAAGTACTATTGTTGTCGAGAATCTTTAGTTTTAGACTTGTAGCATTTTGTTTTTTTGTTACAGGGACTTTTGCACAATAATTAAAGTTTGGTTTGGTAGTTTTTTTTTGTTAGTGCATAATTTTGACTAATTGCTGTAGGCAGTCTTACATTTAACATAAACATAGTTGGACTGAGCCATTGTCATAATGTAGGCTACTGCTTTTTTACTAGCTAACCAAATAGAATAAAAAAATAATACATTACAAATAGGCTAAGGGTGTAACATAGAACACAAGGGCCTGAATTTTAAAGATTTTTTTAGGGATGGTAGGGGGTATTTTTGGGGGGGTTTTTAGGGGTGGTTTTTGGGTTGACGTTTTTGGAAAATAATTCACTTAAGCATGTGAAACACAAAACTTTACACTGTACACAACAATTAGAATATTTCACTGTCACTGATAACATTTGTAAAATATGAAGACCTAAATTCTCCTCATTGATTACCCCTCTCTCTTCAAAACCTAAACCTTAAAGAGTACTTGGAGTATACCGGCCATCTTGGATAATTTCAAACAACTGCTGAGTTATTTATCATTCACAAATATTTTTTAAGATATATAAGTGATTGTAATTCAAATATAGGGCGCAGTGGGATCAGAAATTTTCTTTCTAGTTTTTTAATTGTTTTACGAGTTACAATTTCCAGCCTCCAAAGACTCTTGTTTTGTCCTAGGACACTAGGCACGAGCCCAAGATTGCTGTTCACATTACTTCAGGCAAGACCTAGGGGTTGCAACATTTTCACTTAAATGAAATCCATTAGTGATTTGGCGGGATTTGAACCCGGGACCTCAAGTACTGAAAGTCTAATGCTCTTAACCACTAGGCCAGCTCGCTCCCCCTAGAAGGACTTTTAAAATGGTGTCAGTGACAGTAAAGTATTTTAGTTCTTGTGTAAAAAAGTAAAGTTTATGATTCTTATGACAGAGTGAACTTTTTCTATTAAGGTAAGTCTTCTATCTTTAAAACAATTCAAAATTTAAAATAGATTTACCTTGAATGGATAGGACGACAGCATTCTCGATGCTTGCTCGGTCATTTGTAGCTCGGCAGATATATTCGCCCTGGTCTTCCACTTGAACACTTGGTATCAGCAGGACTCGATTGTAGGATGTTAGAACCGCCTGGCGAGGCAAAGCGGCACCTCTACGAGTCCAATTATAGGACGGGACCGGACTGTCAAATATCAACATAGGTTACACCAATGTTTATTTACAGCTAAAATATATTACAACTAAAATATTAAGTTTTCTTCCTACATGGAAAACGTTCTACAGCAACCAAAGATGCTAAAACACTAATTTTTTTACACAGACTTGTCTTTGTTCTGTTGGACTTGAAAGCATCTTCTGGGCTAAGCGTTTTCCATAGGACATTAAAATATAACATGGTGGGTAGTTTTTTTTTACAGATTATGGATTAGGACTAGATTAAGATTGATAAGGCACCCCTTATTGACCTCCCTTATTATAATTGGATAGTCTTTTGAAATGGTCGGTAGCTGTTAATGAAGGCCTATGTGTTATAGTAGTATTTGGCTGAGTCAAGATGTAAATAGTACTCCTTAGTTCAAAGGGTTTCAAGCAAGTATTATTGAAGCATCATCTTTTGTTCAGGTTGCAAGAAAAAAAATTGGTAAGTTGTTGGTAGTGCAATAAATGTAAAATCATGGTAGCAAAGTTATGGATTCTTGTCCCTATTCTTCCACTATAGTCTGTTTGCTCAGGGAGTGCGCCTGGCCGAAGGGTCGACCCTACTCATACACACCCAGGCCTCACACACACAGACACGATGGATTAGGACAGACCATTGAACTGCCGAGTGAGTCATCACTGCCCCACAGATATTTGACTAAATATTTTTATATTTTTACTTTGTTATAAAATCAATTGATACTTTTGACTTCATCTCAAAATGATGAAATGAGTAAAACGATACAAAACAAAATTTATTTTGATAAACTAATCTAAAAGTTACAAATATAGTTCATCCCAAATTTGTAATGTATTTCTTGGTCATAATGGTTTTGTGTTTGGGCAAATTTTCATGGAATTAAACAACATGATATTAATTGCAATTCTGAGACATCATACAATAGGTGTTTATATTTCTAGGTAGCGAAGAGGACCGGGGCTTTCAGGTAATTAGGACGGCGGTGAGTGTGGCAGGGTTGCCACCAAAGTGAGATAAAAAAATTCATGCATAATTCACGCACTTTTTCATGGTCACCTAAATTCACGCATAATTCACGCTTTTCAAGGTTTTCATGGCTGGTGGCAACCCTGAATGTATTTCTTGGTCATAATGGTTTTGTGTTTGGGCAAATTTTCATGGAATTAAACAACATGATATTAATTGCAATTCTGAGACATCATACAATAGGTGTTTATATTTCTAGGTAGCGAAGAGGATCGGGGCTTTCAGGTAATTAGGACGGTGGTGAGTGTGCGTGCTTGAGTCGGGTACCTCGCAGGTAGGGCCGAGCTCCTACCCAGTCACTTTATCCTACTTTAGAGAGTTTGTTATACTCACTGAGCAAACATAGTAATCGTTCTTTCTGCTCACCCAAAATTTTACTTTAATATCAGATAAGAAATGTCTAACTTCCTTATTTATGAACAATGATCTTTCTCTTCATCCTCGTCAGTTAAATAAACAATAATGCTTGGAAATTATTTAATAAAAACACTCTGGATCCAAAAAAAACACTTAAAACTATCCCTAGGATATAGTTAAATAGTCTGTAATACAAAGTCTTGGGTTATGTTACCAAAAAAAAGTATCCAAACCTCAGCATTGTGATTTGGCCCAAAGGTGAACTCCAAAACTTTGTGCTAAACAGAAGAACGAATAATTTGGCCTACTGTATAGCGATAGAATCTTAACAATCGTAGCAGCCTAGTAGTAATTAAAAAACATTCATGATGACGAGCTTTAGTTGAGGATACTAGGCTATTATTTATTCATTGATCTACTAGCTACCTATTGACTTAACAATTTGTTTTTGACTCTGATGTAGGCCTAATTTAAATAATATGTTAAAAAGCATTTCACAGGTACTGATATTCTTAAGACAGCTAGTGTCGCTGAAACTGCCATTAAAAATACTCCGTACTGCACGGTGAACATGGAATGGAGTCCGACAAAGAAGGTTTATACTTACTATCCAAACGCCACACACTCGAGTCGAACTTCTTTCCCGGCAACTGGGGCTTCAGGGAAAGCTTTCGGGAAATTATTTGGGAATTTCAATTGCTGATGATTGGCTGTAAATAAAAACATGCATGTTACTGGAGAAAACATAAAAAAGTAGTCAATAATTTAGGTATTAATGAGAATAACATGTTTGAAGTACAGTATCATTAGTAGCTTCATGGTAAGATTTTAAAACTTACATCACAAAATTGTAATATGAATATAGGCCTATATCACTTTCCATTATTAACTTTAATTTGTAAATATTTACTTAGTAACCCGTAAAATATGCAAAAAACACAAAATACAAACAGCTGTAGGCCTACCATGTAAATACATTTGTTTACTGTTTAGCATTATTACTTAACAATTCATGATATTTTTCAATCAACAAAAAACTACAAGCTTAGCTTCAGTGTGTAAAAAAAAACACAATTGCAAAATAGTTAGCATAATTTAACTATTTATTGGGTATTACACTTATAACTGACCAAAAATGGCTACTTACAATGGGGATTGACGTAGAGGGGGAAGAAAGGTCCGTTACGACCCGTGTCAGACACTCTGCTCTGCACGTTACAGCTGTAGTTTCCTCGGTCAATATTCTCCAGTGCAGAAAAGTATAGCGCTCCATCAAAAGATACAAAAACTCGCTTATCTTCCTCTACAAAATTGGGAAAATAGTCCCTGGCCCAGTAGTACTTTACACCTGTGAGGAAAATAATGTTGGTAAAATAAATTCCTTGTAGTGCCCAACTGAAGAAAAATGCTTATTGTAGTAGCGAAAAACCCAACCTTGATGAGCCTGTTTTGTTTCTTAGCTGGTTATCTGGAGCTTAAGGTAGGTATCAAACAATTGACAGTAAACATTATTATATTTATAAAAGGCATTGATAATGACAACTTTGCCTCCGCAAAAAGTTACCCAAGATTTAAAGACAAGATACCACATCACATGCTTGTCCACAAAAATCTAAAACCAGATTCAAAATAGACACTACAGAAGTAACTGTACAGCACTCTTAAGTTATGATACCTGGTTCTGTAAAATCTGAAGTAGGCTCTTGAAGTTTTACTCACAGTAATGAACATACAATTGCATGAAGGGTTTTTATTATTTAGTTTAAATTAAATGGATATACCAGTCTACAGCTCTGACATAAAAAATGAGCACAATATTAACATAATTACCTGGAAAGTATTGGGGTGGATCACAATACACCGTTTTTCCCCAGTTTTCGTCTCCTCTTTCTGGTGATCTTTTCAAGTTGAATTCACCAATAAAACCAAACGTGAGTTTAACACTTTCTGATATTATACTTCCATAGTCGTTTGTGGCTTTGCAATGATACAGTCCTCTGTCTTCAACCTGCGACATAAATGTTCATTGTAAAATTGCAAAACACTTCTCTGAAAATCTCTAAATGTAAGGATTTATGTCTCCATAGTGGGGATGGCCCTAGTTATCTACCCCACTTCCAAGGGTGATGGAAGAGAGCTGCTGAAAATGTGTTCCGAGTACTCAGTTGTCCTTCAGTTATCAATCCAATATCTTAAAATAGTCGATCCAGGCAGAATTCTGCACACACCAATAAGCGTAGATTCTGTCTTGCATGAGGTTGTGGTGTTTACAAAATACTCTAAACGATCTTTGTTATTTTACTTGAAAAACTATTACATTTTATAAATTGATTTCCATTTTTTTATTTGCGTGCAATTTTCCAAATTCAAATTAAGTAAGATAGCAACGCATGTTCAAGATTTCTCGATGATCACTCTCTGAGGGTTTTCTGAAATATCTGTTAGAACTATCGTTAATTATATTCTGAGCCAATAATCTTGAGACGTTTATTAATTTACAAAACTCGTTCATGAACCCTGGGCTATCTCGTAGTAAGCTGGGTCACCTGAACAAAACTAAGATGTTAACTTACTATTTTGGTGAGACAAAAACCATTATGTAGGAACATTTTTAAGAGGGCAATTTAATATTTAATTTTGTGTACTCCCTGATATTATGTCACAACCCTTTAAGAAGGAAATTCTCAAATTTAATACCGGCACTTCTTAATACCTTTAACAATGCCAGAAATCTAGCCGCTCGCACACCTCTATATAAATCACATTATCTACAGTAAAAGTAGTTTAAACTAAAAACTGTAACTTATTTACCTTTTTAGGATCATGAATAATGAGAGTGCCTCCACTGATAGTGAACCGAGTGTCTTTCAAGGGATCAATCTTGACAGGTATCAACACGTCACCTTGGTAATCTTCTTTAAACCATTCATAGGTAGGGGCTGGGTACCCTCCAGCAAGGCAGCTAAAAATAAAAAATAGTTTAATAGAACATTCCATAAATTCATTTTATAGTCCTGGGACTCCTCGTCCTTTCTGACAGAAAATGTCCTTACATAAAAAATGCTGACTAGTTTTGTTCTGAGCGTAACTATTGTAAAAGCTTACGACAAGTCAAGAGAATATAGTACTATACAAATCATTACGTACATAACACATGACACAAAATCATTTAGCAACACAAAATGAATAAAGATATTATCAGGAGTCATTGGGTCTTAGCAACAGCAGTAGACTGGGCCTTGAAGTTCAGGACTAGGAGATTCAAGTCACATCATTTTTGTTGTTTATGTGATATATTTGATGTTTTAAAGTGTTGCAATATTTTTACAGTTTCACTTGCAACAAAAAAGCACATTTACTTGAAATTGGACTAAAGAAATTTAAGCCATTTAAGAAATTTAAGAAATTTAAAAAGAAAATTAAGCCTAATATCCACAGATATAAAAATACCAAACGACATTGAACATTTTTTAGTAGGGCTACATTGAGTGAGACGTTTGATGTACCTGAGTGAAACATCGTTGGTGATTTTCCTCTTGGAAAGGTCAAAGACAACATCAATGGGTTGATTGATGAAGTATGGACCCATGGGTATCTTGAGGGGGTCCTGCACATCTATGCCGTACTGGTATGTTCTGTCGTCTGCTACTATGTAATGAAGCTTGGTAAGAGGAGCTTCACAGATGTAAAGTAGAAGTTCCTCCCCGGTTACTTTCTCCAGGCCCCATTTCTTCAGGTTGTTTGAGAAGCTGAAATTAAAATAACGTTAACAAACTCACTTTTGTATTGTTTTACGCTCTAATTAGTTTTATCAATTATTTAGAAAAAGCTATACTACTTTAATTGAATTTTCAATACTTTAAGTAGGAAACAGGCTTACCAACAGGTTTATTTTCACAAGACAAATTCAATAAATCTTGGAAGAAGTTTAAAATTTGTTGTTAAAAATGATCTGGGAACTTTGCTACTCAAAAGGTAAAATTTATTCAAATCAAGTCTGTAGTCCCAAATTATTTTAATTTGGTTTAGTATGAATTATATAATAATAGGAGGGTTAAGACAATTAAAACAATATGACCGACAATTTTATAGGAAAAATCTATTTTATGTAATACTATCATCATAGTTTAATATTATTTACATGGGTCCTTCATTGAGTCAAATCCTTCTGATGAGTGAAGGCATGCAAGTTTTGCCTTACCTGTAGACCATGTAGTCTTTAGAAGGTCCCGACTGATCAGCTGGCTCGGGTAGGAAGGCTGACTCCATATCTGGCAATGGCGTTCCATCCTCGTTGACCCAGTAGCCTGGACTCTGCTGATGAGGGCTGATGTACCATCTACGATGCTGCGGGTCTTGCCACAACAGGTTGTACAGCAGAAACCCGTGTTCTTCTACAGAGTTGATACTGACAAGATCCGACTCATACGCCTGAAAACAATAAGCATCATCAGGGATTCTGCTTTTTTGTTTACAGCACATTTTCTACAACACATGTGAAAAACTAGGGAAATATTTACATTACTTTATGCAGCCTACTTTGTACCAAATACTTTTGGTATACCTACAGGGTTCCTACGAAAATATTATTAGTAAATTCCCTGGCCACGGCACATTTTAGGTACCGTGATTTTTTATAGTATTTAGGTACCGTAGGTTTTATCTTGAGTGAAAAAACAACTTTTTATTATTTAATACGGCCTTCACTATCCCCATAGCCGCCCTTACGCCTCTTTTTTACTTATACAATACCAAATAAGAAATATAATTCTAAATATGCACAACTATAAGTCACATAAAAATGGGTGATAAAAATTATATAAGCCACAGTTATCAGAACTTTAGTAATCTCTGAAGTAACTATCTCATCTATGTCTAAAATAAAAGTCAATATTTTGGCGAATTATTTAAGACTATAAAGAGTTTTGGGAGTTATTTAGAATTGGGTATATACGTCTTTAACTAAAGACAAATTTCAATATAAATACATTTTAATGTTAAATTATGGTCCATGAATCATTTTAAAATTGTCAGATTTTGTTTAATGATCGATAAAATCAAAGCCAAACATTTACTGAGTAATTTGAGACCAGAAATAACTTTGTGACGTATTAACAACCCGAGTTATAAATCTTTTAATAAAAATATATTTCTAAAAAGTTAAATTTAATATTGTTCTGAGGTTTGTAGCTGGTCTTTAACTCGTCTGATTTTAATGATCAAGAGTTCAAACGAAAGCCCTTACATTACTGAATATTTTAAGCCTAGAACGAACTACGACCGTCAATAAGATCTGGAGATATAAGAAAAATAGTTTTTAAAAAATTATCAAACTACGAAACGTCCATAAGAAATGTATGGTGGAGAGTTTTCGTTTGAATATATCTTCTAAATGAATAAAGATATTTAAAAACGAATTTCGGCATTGAATCAGCGTAAAAATGTAGTTGGTAATGATGTGTCACAACACTATCATTACATTGAAAAAAAATTACCTATGTCCAATATGGCGGATCCAAGATGGCGGCCAAAAACATGTTCCCTATCAAAATGAAGTACTAACCACCCAATAAATACAGGTGGTGGTCCCAAGTCAATATCTCGAAAAATGTGCATAACAAATGCATGTGAAATATGTTTTTTTAGTTTGTCCAATGTTGGAAAAAGCCGCCATTTTAAATTATGATTTTAGTGGTTTTCTCGTGCACCGATTTTTGGCAACTTATAGTATGTCATTCTGCAAACCCAACTCTACAAAATAAAACCATAAAACGTTTTCTTGCAATTTTTTAAGGTCATATCCTATATTTCTCCGACTATATGGTAACCGCAGCACAGCTGATGGTCTATATTTAATTCCTTTTGTCTATGGTAGTATTTAAAAGATTCAAAACAAAAAATTATCGGTCATAAGTCTTGCATTTTGATGGCTTGCTACTTTTGGAACAATTATTGGAA